TTCTTCCCTCTCCTAATTAGATTGTCAGGATAATTTTAGCAACCATGGGGGTCTGCAATCTATTTAATGTATTCAAGCTACATCATGTTGTAAGGATGTGGGTTTTCTATGAGTCTGGCCTACTTTTCTGCCTCTTGTAGCAAATTCATATACTAGGTTGGACCCAAATCAGCAGGTGGGCTACATGCCTTCTGGGTTACTAAAATACCAGCTTCTAAACAAATGGAAATCTGGCAACACATTAGCTTCTTAGCTGCTTTAGATTAGCCATGAAAAATTAAATTTCTCATGTCCTTGCACGCACATGTGCATATTGTACTGTGCTAAGGCGGTTGTCTTTGTGTACAGTACCTGATGCAAACTCTCTTTAGAAGAACTCCTACTTCAAGTGAGCGAATTGGTTGCACTCGGATAAATTAAATTTCAGTTAATTACCTTCTTAACCATCTGCTTATTTATTAAGCTGATTAAAATTGGCTAGTTTATTGTAAGCCCAAGCAAACTGTCATTTTACTGTATACGTTTACATAAAAGAATAGAGGATGCTGAAAATTCACTTGTGAAGCTTCTGTGTGCTCTTTTATGCCCTAACCAAGCCAGTATTGCAGGAATGTTCTGCCCTTTGATAGGGAACACTCCCTAGGATTGCTTCATCCCTTGAAACCTGAGCTCAGGCAGGAAATGTACGATTTAACTCTCCTGTCTGTGGAGGGAGTAAGTGGAGTTTTATTGCGCAAGTTCTGTCCTTCTCCAGTTGCTGTAGCAGCACTTGCCCTGGATTCTGAATTCAAGTGTCTGAATATCACATGCTTAGCAGAAGATGCTGACAAGTTATAAGCAAATACTTTCTTCATATGCAAAGATTAATCTGATTTAAATTCAGTTTAAATAATCCACTTGCATATATAGAAAGATTTTTTAGTGTAAGTGGTCATGGTACTGTCCATGACGTGGATATGCACACACAGTAGTACCTTGTTTAAGTTAACCTGCTGTTTAAATGAGTTGTTCTCAAACTTTTTTGGTTGAATCTCACCTTTTGTCTTTACTCCTGTTTCTTTTGTGGACTGCAGATTTTACTTTGGAGCCTGAAGTCAGTCCTTTATTTACTCCATACTAACTTTAGCTATAACATATTTTCGTTGCAGAAGTTTGCAACCAACATAGCTGAATTTTTATCAGTTTTGTTATTTTATATAGCAGTATATTCTGGGAAATCAGATAGTTATGATTTATGGCCTCATAAGCAATATCTAGCCATCTCACTGTTTTGTTAGTATGTTTTCAACCTGGTCAGGAGAAATAATACTATCTGTGTTCTTGGTGGCTGTATTTCTGGAATAAAGGAATAGTAAAGATGATACAGATACAGTTGAGGACCAATTACATTGTAAAACAAGTGTGTTGCAGTAAGACCAGAAGTTGCAGGGTCTATCTGTGCTTAACAACTGTGTCCATTTTGTATGTACATATGCTGATAGAGGTTTAAATATGGGTTGTGTACACATGATTGGCCACAAAGCAGTTAGACGTAAAGCCCCAGCACATCTTAAGAGGAGTATTTTTGAGAGAGCATGTGATGGTGAAGGCGTTTTAACATAATGCCTACATACTTATGTAGTTTCTTTGCTGACATGTGGGGAAAGAATAACTTTGTATGTGATTTGCAGAGAATAGTCTGTCTTTAGTCACCTTTCTTGTTATTACTTTCATGGCTGTTATATTTCCATTTTGTAGAAGTATTCAGTTATTATACAAAGTTTAAAACTGTATTTTGTATTTGCAAAAGCCTCTTAGTTTCATGGAAGAAAAGCATCTACAAGATGATGGCTGTTCAGGCTACTACGTGTTGTATGTGGGACATGGAATATAATGTTTCATTGCCTAACCTGAAAGTTCAAAACATGGTTTCCTAAGACCATGAAGAAAACATTCAGGAATGACTGAAGTCCAGCATGGTGTGAGTATTAGCTCCACACCAGGAAGATGCTAAACTCCAGACTGTGGAACAATATGTGAGAAGTATCTTTGTGTGTGTGTTTTATTAACTTCTTCCTTCCTTAAAGACAGTGAGGAGGCATTGCCCTTCAGGTCTGTGAGCTAGATGAACTGTTGTTCTGACCAAAGATAGCTGCTTCTGTTGCCTTAGTGAACCCATAATACAGTGCCTTCTTTCTTGAATTTGACCACTGCATTTATGTACATTGAGAAAGACCCAAATCACTGACTGCGACTATTCAATGTTTCTGATTGGAGTGATGATCATCTGTTACAGCAAGAGCCTTGCCAGGTCTGTAGGTTGGGTCTGTCGAATGACATGGTGAATGGTTGCTTGGTATTAAAGGATTTTGAGGATCACTGAGGGCAGATTTTCTCTGCTCTGAAACCTAGAAGTTTTCTGTCTAGTTTAAGGCAGTGATGAGGAAGGAAGAAATACTGTCTGTCTTGATCACCAAATAAGAGAAAAATAGGGGAGAGAACAGGAGGCAAAGGTGAGATTTGCCTTTTTCTTTCCTTGAAGCATGATAGTTTCTGGACTTTAACAAGTCTGTGCTTTTTTCTTCTGCAAAGTTGTAGATTGAGTTAGACCGTCCTAGCTCGCTAACAAATGTTTTTGTGAGGACTGCAATACTTACTTGGCAGCTTAAACAGTCCTACTTTGTGCACTGTTGTTTGTGTTTGTGGGATGGACTCTAAGATAACCCTCCCTATGTCTTAATTTATTTGTCACTTATTCAAATCCTTGTAAATATGCCTGTCAAAGAGTTGTTCCTGTGGTATGGATAAACTGTGTTTAATCGAATTGCTTGCTTTTCTGAAACCTTTGATTCAGTTGGCAGGCAAAGACCACTCTAAAGTCCTGGCTATAATTATTGGTTGTGTAGCTGCACTGATGAAGATGCTAATCTTTATGCCATAATGTCTAGTAAGGCGATTACTTTTAGATTGTGTCTACAATACAAAATATTGTTTGTGAAATGTTATGCTGTTGGCTCAGATCACTGGTATGGACGTTCAGTTCTCTGTTCTTCATAAAGGTTTTCTTCTGCCTTATATTTTTGGGACTTGTAGAAGACATAGTGGAAGCAGCCTCTTCATGAGGAGTTGTCAGACGTGTACTTTGTTGTTAGGCTTTGCTTTGGAGTTTTGATGTTTGTGACACAATTTTTCATTATTTAATCATTAGGAGAAAGTAATGAGTTTAGCTTGCAGCTGGTGGGTTTATCTGTTATCTTTATCCTTTCTCAGTTTGTTGTGTTGGTTTAGCAAAACAAAAATAAACTTGCTGTAATTCTGCATAAGTACAGCATTGCAGTTCTGAAGCCAGAGTGACTGAGTACCCCCCCCAAAAAAAAAGCTGTCTGGTAAGGAAACAGGTACTTTTAATCTGAAAATACTGTTTAAGTCAAAACTGAAACATTTTGCAAGGATGAATTATCATCCAAAAGATTTTTTTATGTCTGAGATGTGTGGTCATGCTGAAGGAGCTGAAGATATTCTCCAGAAAAGCAAAATTCCTCAGGGATTTTTAGTGCAGTCGCTTAGGAGGTTGTCTGCAGGTGGTGTGAAGAAGGTTAAACTTGCAGAGTCCCCAACCCTTCCTGATACAGGTGGCTTGGATCTTGGTCTTCTGCTTTCCTTTGAAGGCCTAAGTATCTAAGCTATCAACTGTTTGGAGGGGATTGATCTTTTACTTGTTACCCCGATTCATTTGTGTATATTGAAGGAGAGATACCTCTTATGATTCTGGCAAGCTCTACAGTCTCTGCTGGGATGTATGCTGTCCTCTGCTAAATTCTCTTTTTTTTTTAAATCATGGTACACACCCACCACTTGCCCAAAAAATAGGAAGCAAACATGTAAATGTTTTTGAAGTCTTAATAATTTTTTGCAGAATAAGGATAAATGAATATTTTATATTCTGTTTTGAGAATACCTGTTTTCATTTACTGCTTTTTAAGGGATTTTGATTTTCTATCTCAATATATCCTCTACTTAAGTTATGAAACTTTCTGTTTGCTTACACCCTTGTCAAAGGATGTAGAAATAGGTTTCTGAGTGTGTAATTAAGTGAATCACAGTCTCTGATCTTGTGAGGTGCTTAAGAAAGTAACTAGTATCATTGGTTAGGGCTAATAGCATCAGGTGTGCACATAAGTACTTTGCTCGATTGGGGTTGCATGATAATCATTAGAATCTTAGTTTTGAAATGTGAAAGTCATGTTTCAATTCTTACATTTTATTTATCAGCACTTAGTGCAGGTTGTGGACTTGTTTTGGTCACAGTTCCTTATTCGGAGAACAAGAATTGCTCGTGTTTCCAAACTAGATAGGTAAATCTAATCCAATTGACCTAGACTGAAGATTCAGTAGTTTGACAAACCTTCATCTATTCATGTTGTAATTTTTAAAAAAAAAGAGAGGGGGGGGAAAAAAAAAGGCAATGCTAATGATTTTGTTATTGTTGTGTATTCTCATGTCGATTATACAGTGAAGGCACAGGCTCTGCAGAATAATGAATTAAAATCTTTGTGTATTTGCTGTTTTCTTCATGCTTTTTCTCTATAAAGCTTTTTGGTGTAAGCATTTTTTTTTTCTTTTCTCTTTTGCACTGAAATTACTTAATTGCCTCTAACAATGGGAGCCTAGTAGCCATGATGCCCAGCAGTTACAGTGCTTTTTTCAGTCAAAATGCTGTTCTAAATCTTTACAAAACAGAAAACAACCAAAACCCAAGCCCACAAAACAACCTTAAAATAGGGAGGGAGTGGACAGTGAGCAGAAAGTGAAGCACTGAGTATTTTGGAATAAGGTTGTGTTATAATTTGTAAAACATTGTTTTGTTACTGGATACCATGAATTTAGTACTCATTTTACTTTTGTCTTTAATGGAGTTTTTTATCAATGGACTTGTTGTGTGTTGACTTTTCTTTAAAGTATGACATTCTTGCACTTGCATTTCTTGATCTTCTTAAATTTTATTTTTGTTTTGCCTAAAGACCCTGTGTGGACAGTAATGACCGCACGTTTCCGATTGCCTGCTGGCAGAACCTACAATGTACGAGCATCTGAGCTGGCACGAGACAGGCAGCATACGGAGGTGGTCTGCAACATTCTTCTCCTGGATAACACTGTACAAGCTTTCAGAGTTAATGTAAGTAATTTGATTATTGCAAATCAGCATCATCAGGTTTGCTTTCCTTTGCTGGCTTTCTGTGGCTAGTGTTTGACTTTCAAAATAGTGTTAAGTACAGAATAGAAGGGGAAGTTATGTTCAGGCAGGCGTGCTTGTACACGTACATACTAAGTCACTGTGAACTTAGTCATTCTGGCATCCTCTATAGCACTAACACATCTTCATTTCAAAATTGACTATACCAAGCATAATTTAGTCCATTAAGAGAATCACTAGAAATAAAGTTGTGTAGTGGAAATGGAAGGAAGTTTTGCCACTGAGTTGAATGAGAAGCAGGCTTTTGTTTTGCTCCATTTTGTTTTTTGCATTTTGAGCATGAGTAAGGTGTAATGGTAACTCGTCTCATGACTCTCTAGCTTGCTATGTTCAATTCTGTTTATGGTTGTATTTGTTTACAGCTATCCTCTTAAAGTATCTCTTCGTTTTTTGCTTTTCTCGGATTATATTCTTGTTCTGTGATTCCCTTTGCTTAAACTTATCACCTTCTAATGCACTAATGAGGATGACAGTAAAGGAAATAGGAAGCTGGTTGCTGAATGCTAAGGACTGTTACTGGGAAAAGTGATTAACTTTTACATATGAGCGTGGAATTTAAAATAGGTTATTTATCAGATTTTTTTAATCTGTGATCCTTGATAAGGAGTGAAAATTAAAATGTTTGTGTTCTTATGCATACATTACACAAGTGCAACCATTTCTTTCAACTTCTTGAGGAAAAAAAAAAAACACAAACAGGCAGGGGTCTCACAAGAAAACATTAAAGCAATCTTTGTGTGAGAAGAACCAGAACTCAACAGAAAAGAAGCTGTGAGGTATCCTGATGCAGGAGAACTCAGCTTTTACTTTATAAGCTATAGAATTGATGACTCTGTGTGGAGTACGGTTCAATAATGTGATGGTGAAAGTTACAAGTGGCATGATTATTAAAGTTTTTCAAGAGAAAATTGAATTCAGCCCAGCTAATGGAGTGAATGAGTAGCTCAATATCAAATAAGACTGTGGGACTTCAGATGGGAAGTGAGGGAGAAACTGAAGCAGTTCTCAAATCTATGTGAATAACTTTAATTTGGACTATTTGAAAAAGTTCTAATGCTCAGTAATTATATTGAATTCTGATAGCCAGTGCTGAGTGACCATATTGGTACATCTTAATGATCTAGGGAAGATTTGTGGGAGTGATTGCATTTCTTTGTTCTTCAGTCAGGTGGTTAGAGCCTGTGTAGCCTGCAACTGCTTATTAGTGAAATCTCTGTTATCTTGCAAAAACTTGAAAGGATCCAGTTTCAGGTGGCTTAAGATTTAGAGGTAGACTTGGTGGTTATTTGTTTTAGACATTGCAATCAAGATAGAAGGTTTTAAGATGTTCTCTTAAGGCATTTTTGTAATTCATTCAGAAGCTGTTTAACTTTTTGGGACTTCTGAGTAGTTAAAGGTGGGCATTTTGGATGTTGGAGCTAGAGGAGGGATGACCAAAGACTTTAATTTGTAAACATCAAGCATCATTTTCTTTCTGGGATAATTTGTCCCATATCTCTTTCCATTTTCCTCTACAGTATTCCATTGCTTTTCTGTATCTCTTATCTTTTCATCCTTGCTAACAGTTTCCCAGCCTATGCCGCCGGCCAAAAAGCAGTATGTACAGAATGTAGTTGGAGACAAAGCATTAAAACTGCATGAGAAATTGTAACTGTTGTGTTCTTTGCTTTCAGGTGCATAAGTTTTCTATTAAAATATCTGCCTTGCAGTTTTGTGTTTGCTTACAAGAATTGGCTAAAATTAGAAATAATTGTTGTACAATAGGTGTGGAAGATTATGCTTCTTTTTGATCTAGTTGTTCAAAAGCTGTATGTTTATAGAGAATGCTAGTGCCTGTCTAAAGTAGATCACCAGTTATAAATCCTCAAATGTCTGTTCTATCACAAGAAAAATTAATGTAATATGTTCTTGCTACCTTCCTAGTGTACTAAATATTTTAGTTGCATGGGTCATGCTTTACTATTTATGCAGCTCAACCTGCAAGTTAGATTATTAAAACTGAGTTTAGGGAATAAAAAGTTCCTTGGTGCTTAACATTTTGATCTCAGGTCTTAGCCTCAATCTGTTTTTTCAAAAATAGGAAGTACTAAAGTATTCAATCACAGCAACTGTATGCTAAACTACATGATATACAGGTTTTCTGGGTTTATAGCTGTGTTTTACTTTATTGTGGTTGACACAATACTTGACAATAAATATTTATGAAATTGTTTTCAAAATAGGAAGAACAAAGATAACACCAAATAGATTAGCAACGTTTATTTCTCTTGGTGATTGCTATAGGTGTTCTGTATGCTAATGATTGTAAAGCTTAATCATCTAGAGTATGCAGTGCTGTATTAATAAAACTGTATTCAAATGCTATTCCTTCTCCAACAGCAAAGTACTGATCACATGTCTCTTGCTAATTTATGTGATATATTCTAAATTCACATTTCAACCAGACTTTTCCATTGATCAGCAAAATAGGCATTCTTTGTGCTAAGCCTTACTTTGTATGGAGCGTAACAAATCAAATCAAATAATCCCTGTGGTTTGTAGCCAGACAAAGGTTATTTTGGTTGCAGGCAGAATAATCAGTTGGAACTAACCTGTGCATATGTTTGAAGAGTAGAAATCCTTTCTATAAAATGCATTGCTTACCAAATTAAGAACTCCTACTTAAACCTTGAAAAGCATACCTCATAGAATGTGTAGCTGGAGTGATCAGAATGATTTGCATTACCGTAAACCTGCTTCTTAAAGATCAGATTGCTTTAATTGGTTTTAACTAATTGTTTAAATACCTTAAATGGTATCTTTTCCATGCAGGCTGACTTAATTGTATTCCCTGAAAGCCAGTACTTAGACATGGAGATCACACTAAACGTGAAGGAAAAATAAGTCAAGGTGGAAGGGGTGAGTTGTTCTGTGAGCAAGGCTAGTGAGTGTAGCAGTCATGGACAAATGTTTCAGTTTGGAGCCTTTATTATATCAGAATTCTACTCAAACTTAATTTATACTCTAATGGAAGTAAAATCTACAAATCTGTAAAATAACCCAAACCAAAACAAAAAAACCCCACACCGACATCCCTGTAATTTAAGAAGTTAAATTTTTCAATAATTTAATCTTTAGCATTATTTAGTTGCTTCCCCCCTTTTTTTTTTTTCTTTTTTGACCAAAGAAATAATACCCTGCTTGGAAACGTTTTCTAAAAAAACAGATAACTTTTTGCAAAGCTAATGTAAACTGTAGAATGAAAGGAGGCAGTAGTGCAGTGCTGGCTGTTTGGGGATGCTCTTGCTTGAGTTGCAACACAATTACTGTGATGAGCTGCGAGAAGGGAGGTTGCAGTGTTGTCGTTAGTGAAGGAGCAGCACAGCCTCCCGCAGTCCTGTGAGCAGCAGAGCTGTCTGACCCCCTCCAGGGAGGCCGGGGACCTGTCATGCCATTCCTCTGTCATCAGAAATCCAAATTTGTTTGTGCTGACACAGCAGCAACATCTCTCAGTATTTCCTGTAGATGTGGCCAGTTCTGTAGGCCAACAACAAAACCAGAGTGTCAGTATTATAAATTAGGAATATGGTGGTAGTTGTTAAACAGACGTTAAACCTGTGTAATGGCAGATGTTTTCCTAAATTTTCAAACATGGATGTTGGTAAACATCTAACAATCATTTTGCAATTAGAAATTAATGTCTATATATCCAGTGGTACTAGATCACAAAGTGCAGTTAATGCATTGATGTTTAGTGTTAATGTCAAATTTGTTCCAAAAGGTGAAAATTTGTTGGACATCTTAACTTGCTTTATTCCTATAAAGTTAAACATTTCTTTTTATGTTAATCCATATTTATTGGTTTTGCCTTTTTTTTTTTTTAACTTAAAAGCAAAAGTAGAAACTTTTTATCATACTTTCTATATTTTTTAGCAACCATTCAATGCTTATGATAGTATTTAAAATATTTTCGACCTTTCACAACAAGCATGATTGTGACCTTCACCTGCTCTGGCAAGCTGCAACACCATTATATAAATATCAGAGATGGGTTAAACTGAGGTCTGGTTATACTAGATTCTTATCTTTATTTTGCACTGAAAGTAAAACATTGTGATCAAAACAAATGCTTCATGTTGGAACTAGTCTTCTCTTACCAAATTTGCTGCTCTGTTGCAGGAGAAATACCTTCCTTGCGGCCGTAAAATGACATTCTGTATTACTAAATTCAAACTGATCAGTAAGTTCCAAGGTTTTTTGTTAGGAAATATCTGTTCAGATATTTAAGAAACAAACTCTCAGGTTTAGACTGGAAAGAAGCTACAGAATTGATATCGGCATGTTATTTGAAAAAATAACATGTCAACTGTGGTAAATGTGAGCCTAAACTTGGGTTCCAAATGTCTCCTATTTTTTTGATAGTTACTGTCATAAGTTCTTAGTTTGAGTTCTGATTTAAATCTATATGGGGAAAAATGCCAAGAAGCAATTAGTGTTGCTATGTAATTTTAAAATTAGTTTTATTTGCTGAAAAAATTGTGTTGATTACTGATTTATTTCAAAATATACCAGAAACTCCTAATTTAGTAAAAGTGAAAATGACTATTTTTGGATTGTATATAAAAATTGATTTATGCTTTTATACTGCTGTGTATTTACTCTGTTAATGTCTGGTTTTTTTCTTTGCTTATTTTTTGTTACTGGAAAGTAATTTTTCAGCAGTGAACTTTTTAACCATGGCCTTCCTACTGGCTGGTCCTTTGTTAAACATCAAGAAAATTTTTCTGTATAATTTTTTAAAAAATAAGATCATTTTTCAAGTAAATATAATAATTCTTAGATCACTTTAAGTTAGCCAAATTTATATGGGACCTGGAATATATGCCTTATGTAATTTCAATTTAAATGCACAGACCTATGGCTATGATTGGCCTGCTGGGGTCATTTCAAGCATAATTTATTGATAACTATTTTATAATTTTTTATTATTACAAAATACTTTATCAAGCTTTATGGAATTCTTAGACCTCAGTAAATAGTTTGGGCAGTTTACTCAACTTCAGTGTAATTTCAGCTGAAGCAAAAAAGTAGTTTTGATTGGATGCTCGTAGATGTTAACAAATGTCTGAATGTGACTTGTAGAATTATCTTGTATATGGATATTAATGAAATTCTTGCAACCTTCTTTTGACCTTTTTGTTACATACTTCTGTTTTAATGGCTGTAAAAGTAAACTGTTAGATAATCTCTGAGAAGTGAGGTCATTTGGTAACAGGACAACCTTTTTTTATTTTAAAACTTTAAAAATATCTTATTGCCTACAGTAGACAAGGTGAGACGTATCAAATCCACTGTAGCATCAATAATAACTTGGCACCTAGAAGATTATTAGAAGCTTGCTTGCTGCCAGGGAAGTAGAAAATCTGCGTGGAAAATGTATCAATCATCTCTTTCATCATTTTTTTTGTTTGACAGTTGTTCTTGCAGAATTTTTCCTCATCTTTTGTACTTCAAGAAGCTATGACACTTTAACTTCTTTGGGAAACTCCCTTCAGATTTCACTAAATGTCTTTATTGAGTCCTGTCATAATGGCACACTCAGTGTTTCAGTTACTGTGTTGGCAGTATTTTCAGGGTAGGCAAAAAATTACTAGGTACCAACAACTATAGATTCTTTTTATAACATCTTAAGGGTAAGATTTTTCCCTGTAGTAGAAATCAGGTTTGTTGTCTCTGAAAAGCAATGCTGCTGTTACTCACTTCATTTGAATTAGTTCATTTAGAGTGAAGTGTAATATCTTTGAGAGAATGCATTTAAATGACACTTTTTAGTTAGGTATTTGGCTGCTTCAGCTGTCTGACTCTGCCATTTAACTTTGGAAACATTTTCAGTATGTTGGTTCATTTGGATTCGGGAACAGATTTGCAGATAGGAAGAATAACTTGTACTGACCTGTACCTTTAAATTCATCGACCCAAACAAAGCTACAAAGTTCTTTAGTAAAATCCTAGCCTTTTTTACTTTTCCTTTTTTTCAGTACTTTTAAATATCAAATTGGGTTAATGAATGGCTTTCAGGAATAATCATGTAGCTAGCTGAGAAGTGAGAAATTCTTACTGTCAGAAGATGACAAAGAGGAAAAAAAATAATTCCTTACATATCTTTCAAAAAGAGAGATGAAGCTCGTTTAAAAATAGCACTCCTGGGGTACACTTGGTGGTATTTAAAATTTAAGCTGCTAGAACACATCTGAAAGAAATGTGTATGTGCTCCGCCTGCCTGAAGTCTGTGTGTCCAATTATGTATTTGTTGATTAAAAAAATACATGTATTTGTTCTCTGCAGAAACATGATCAGGGACAAGTTCTATTGGACGTAGTCTTCAAGCATCTCGATTTGACAGAGAGAGATTACTTTGGTTTACAGTTGGCTGATGAATCTACTGATAACCCTGTAAGTTGACTCTTATAAATATGATTTTATAAATCATTATCACATTCATCACTCTGCTGTGTGTCATTGTAAAAACAAGTAAATAGAATCCATTGCAATATTGTGCCATCTTCTCTAGCTGTGTCATTTGAGTGGGTCAGTATCACCTTGTAGTTATGATAAAACTAAATGTTAATAGTCACAAGTTTTGAGTAAAATGTTGAGATTCGTGCTTATGAAATAATACCTTAAAAGGATATTCCTTGTTTTAATGTATCTGTTTACTAGACTACATGACCATTGTCAGTTGGGATAAGAAATAGTAACTCTTCTAAAATTTTCTATTTAGTTATTTATTTTCATTAGGAATGAAAAAAAAAAAAAAAAAAAAAGGGGGGTGTTTTTTAGATTGTCCTGCACAGTGCTTTAATTTCTAGCCCGGATAATTGTTAAGTATAGTGCTTCATATAGTCCCCTGTCTGACAAGGACTATCAGCTCATCACCTTAACTGAAAAAGGAAGGACACCTTTGAAAATGAGTGTTTATAATAGTTCATGTGCTTTAATTGAAAGGAAATTTTATAGGACTGAAACTTTATAAATCACCAGTAGAAAGTAACAGATCCAGCTGTAATGTTCAGTGTCTGGCTATACTGTTGAGATCATGATGGCTTCAGGAATACTTCTTGAATACTTGCTTTTATAGGTATCAAATGTTCAATTCTTGTTTTAAAGTGCACTTCCACTAAGTATTATTCCATATAATACAGTTCTTTGCCTAATTCCCATTATGTACGCATCACAGTAATGGGGTCTAACTTTAACTCCCAACTTGTGTCAAAAGTAATTTTTGTTCACAAAATGTGTAGAATGTGATCTGTAGAGATAAGTGACACTGTAAAGTGTTAATCATTCAGTAACTAAGGTGTATTTTAGAAGACTGCAGCTTTCTTTGGTAAGTGCAGATTTAGCCTACTGTTATTTTACCATCCAGAGTGACTCGTCTAAATAGAAGGAACACTTTTTTTATCTTACTGAAAGGTTGGGTTTTTTTCTTTCTACTTATTTTTAATGTCTTTTTAATGTAGAAGAGGAAGAAAGAAGTCACAATACAGGCATAATTTTTCTTCTGCCTGAGTAGTGAACTACTTCTACATTGCTTTCTTCTCTAAAGCAAATTATTCTTAATTATAATATTTTTCTAAGTTCTGGTAGTGTTAAGATTATTAATATGAAAAAAGCTACATAGCACTGTTGCAGATATTTAACAAAGCTTTCTTTTGTAACTTTGTGGAGAGTTCTGTTAAGACATTGGCAGGTTGGCCTCATTTAATCTTTTTATTCTAAACTTTGTTTCCAGGCTGAAAAGACATAGGCATGCAGTAGAAAAGGCTGAATTATTTTTTCAGCTTTGTTTAAGAAGTTTTTAATGGAATATCACTCAATATTTTACTCAACATTCAGAAATTTGTAGTGTTTCTCATTCTCATTTATCTGGCTTTCCAATGCTTAGACCTCTAAGCTCTCTTTTGTTGGTTTATCCGTCTGGAAGCAGCTGAACACAACACTGTAATAGAAGGATCTGATTAAGTGTTAGTCCAAAGGAAGAATGACTTCACAGCTATTTGATATAAGCACATGCTTTAAAGGTTTAGTAGTCTTTCACTTCTAAATATTTTGGCTTTTCGGCACATATCTAGTTGCCATGAAAACAATGTGTCAGTGCTAAATAGAAATGTTAGCATTATTAGTCATGGGCTTGACTAATTTCAGTTTTTGATACCAGTTTACTTTTACATTCAGTTCATTTGGACAAAGAAACCTGTTTGGATTAACAAATATTCTAGTTACTTGTGAAATAACGCAGTGGAGTATTACAAAGAAATAGTCAATATGGCAGGAGATAAAGTTTATGGGGAAAAAGGGGATCCTGCTAACTGAGTGTGAAACCTCTATCATTGTGCCTAACTGTGGATTTCATGAACTTTACAAGCTTTATGTTTTTGTATAATATTAATGACCCAGTAAAAGTCAATGCAAGAAAGCACTGATGCTGTGTACAGCTAGAGTGGTATGTTTGGCTCGGGTCTTGGGCTGTAGGTGCCTGGAATAATGCTGAGAAGGGAGCAATGCTGCGTAGTGGGAGTGAGGGTGCAGCCGAGTGGGTGCTGGAGTGCTCTTGGCAGGAGGGAGTGAGGCAGGGATCATTGCTGGGGGAGGAGAGAATACAGAAACGACTCTCTGGGGTACAAACTTCACGGATCTCAAATCTACCTGCCTCTCAGACTTACTGGGATGTAAATGGGATAACATATCTTGCTAGCAGCACCTTGATTCATAAAATTCTGGTACTTTCGCCTAAATTCTGGCAACTTCAGCTTCTTTGAGATATGAAGTGGTTTAACCTTCTGCAGTTTCCCAGAGAGAAAAATCACCTTTTGTATTTGGATCTAATGATGTCACTTGAAACCATGGATGCTGTTAAATATAGTTCCAAAAAAGGTTACTCTTCTATAGTTTGAGCTGTACTCGTACATACCAAATTGGTCCTTACCTCCAGAATAAAATGTAAATGCAAGCTTTTCTGCTAGGCATTTCAGTTCCAGGTTTTCTGGATTAACTGTAATCTAAAAAAAAAAAAACACCAAAAAGAAAAAAAAATCTAAGGATTATCAGTCAGATCTGTGCATTTATCAGATATATTGGATCAGAGCCCCTTGCTTAAAGATATTCAAGTGTATTTCACCATGTTTTGAAAGATTCTTATATAAAACTTGTGGTATTCCTAGATGCAGAGTCCTTTCTTGTCTTTACATTTAATTTTAGCAGTTAATTTATCCTTTCTGAGGTTTTTTGAGACATAATTACACTCTTAAACTGTATCAGACCGTCTCTTTAGTTCCTCTTAAGTCACCTAATACAAGGATACGACATTTGGATGTAGTCCTCATTATTTGTTATTTCCAATGAATAAAGTGAGTCAGAACTAGCTTCAGATACATAGTGTGTGTCAGATAGCTCAGGCACCTCTCTGTGTTTGCTTCTTCCTCCCTCACATGAAAGAAAAAAAAAAAAGTCCTGTGATAAGTGTGAGGTAGTTACATGCTGTACAGGATTAGGTCTCTGTCACTTCATAGGAACTGTGGCCACATAACCATTTCCTGAGGCTTGTGGGCTTGCATTGCAAGTCAGGGTGAGGAATTGAACAGTATTTATAACAAAGATAGTCTTGTGAGTTAACTGAACTACATTGATGTGTGTGGAGTCTACTGAGTTGCTGAAGGGGTTTAAACAACTTGTAGGGCTTTCCAGAGAACCATGCTTCTATCTGAAATTTGTAGCGTTGATTTTTATAAAAATCTATCTGTACTTCCCCACAGCAGTGCTCTCCCATAGAGACAATCAAGATTGGGTGCTGTTTGGTAGAATTGTTCTGTAGTTCCTTAATCCAGTAGGCAGACTGCTGAGCCTCTCGTTCCCAGGATCCCAGTTAGGGAATTACCAGAGATGACACTCAGGCTGCCAATTTGAAGAGAATCTGTGAGCCAGTGAGATCACTCCTTGGGTGTGTCAGACCTGCAAAATGCAGAGTCGAATGTACTGAAACTAGTTTAAGCAAATTAATTTCTGAGTTGGGTAAATTAGCCAGTTTATCGCTCTTCACTGCCACAGTTAGTTCACTTTAGATAATCAGTTTAAACATTAGCTGAAGATTAAGCATGCCATAATTGAGTTCCAACTTCTCTCAGGTTTATGTGACAATTTAGAACTAAGTCATAGTCAAATTAGCTCTGTAAGAGACAGTTATCTGGACAACAGAGGTTAATCTCAGGGAAAGAACAGTAGCAACGGCTGATGATAATGTTGGTGGCTTTCCAGAATCAGTAACAAGACTTTGTATGACAGTAAGACATTCTGGTAAAAGACCAAGTAAAAAGTAATAGAAAAGCATCACTTTCTTGATGTATAGGCTATAATTTGTACTTTTTTGTTTCTCTAAAGTTGGTGTTATAATTTGTCTCTTTCCAGAGGTGGTTGGATGCAAACAAACCTATCAGAAAACAATTAAAAAGTGAGTACATGTATGTATTTGGTCAATTCGTATTTCATTATTATGCTGGTTTTCCAGGGTACTGATTAATTAAAAATAACTTTTATTGACTGTAGGAGGATCTCCTCACAGTTTGAACTTCAGAGTTAAGTTTTTTGTAAGTGACCCAAACAAGCTCCAAGAAGAATATACAAGGTAGGTCTAGTTAATTGATCAATAAACATTTTTATAAGCCTTATGTTATGTTTAAGGGGAAAGCCATCATTAATTTTTTGAAGGTATAACACAAAGTTTCTTTTAAATCACTTTTGTGTCATATATGCAAGCTTCTAATTTTTGCCTAATAATTACAGATATGAACTATGCAGTCGCACCAAATCAATGTAACAAAAAGCCTCTGTGAATAAATTTACAAATTCATATGCAAAGTGAAGTAACTACATGAAGAAAATACTACCAAGTAGAAACAGAAAAGGGAAAGTAGAGAAGAGAGGAAAAACTTAATCCCACTATTCACCAATGAGTACAAATTTAATTTTATCCTTACTTGTGTTCTCCTTTGTGATTATAAAATTCCTGAGCTTTCTGCATTTTTCCTTGATGTTTCCCCCTCCACCCCCCCTCGCCAATTTTCTGCTTGACACTAATAAAATTAATCTCTGTTTGTATGGTTGTAGTCCTAGCTTGAAGCATGTAAGCTGATTTTGATATCAGTGTGTTGAAGTCTGCTGAAGAAAATTCTCAGTGTGAATCAAGATAGGAAGCTTGTGAGTTGCAATTAGTCCCTGAAGAAATGCCTCAAATTTTCAGTAATCTTAATTAGTTCTGTTTGTCTGTATAAGTCATGTGATTTGACAGATTGGAACTTTTGAATGTCAACCATTCTGAAAACAGGTCAGCCCTGTTAAAAAAAAATATCTAAAATATTAAGGATAGCTTTAGAAATGTAAATACCAAAACTGTGAAAATTTGAGTCCACATATATGTATAATTTCTTCTGATTTGTCATATTTTGGACAAAATTTTATGCACATCTATGTAGACAGAATTTACTAAAATGAGTCCCGGATATCCTGGATCAGGCTTTGTTTTACTGAAATATTTACTCTAGGAAGATCTGACAATTTACTACATAAGAATAATGAAAAATGTGTTATTTGAATTAAAGGACAATAAGCAATATTCCTAAGGAGATAGAAAAAAACAATAAATGTTGATCAAAGTTAAGTAAACAGTAAAGAAGAAAGAGAACTGTTTTCTTTAAATGTTATGCTGTAGATACACATCTAGAAATCCAGCATCCTTTTAATGTATGATTTCTCTATCTAGGTCAGCTCTGCCTTTTTTGCTAATAGGTTTAATTGCCCATGAGAAAACTTGTTTGTATTTGGAATTACTACAAAGAAAGAGTTACCTGTGGGTTTTTTTTGGAGTGAAGTTAGGATGCCATGTCACAAATATGGGGTCCTTTCATCACCTTGAAAGAAAGAAAAGGAACAAAGCAAGCACAAACTTTTGACAGTCCCAGCTCAAGCTGAGGCTTTTCAAAGATGCTCAGTTTTTATAAATTTCCTGAAAACAGAGGAATGAGTTGACATATGAGGCAGCATGAATCAACGTCAGGGAAAGGTTCAGTGCAAGCTCGTGTCTTATTAGACCTCTCTGAATTTGTGTGAGGGAGGCAGGTTATGAACGGCCCAGGTCAGGAAAGGTCAGCAGGAGCTCACCTTGTGTTGGAGAGTTTAGGTCTAGGAACTTATCTTGGTAGGAAATGAAGCTTCATTAGTTCTGCTCATGGCAGAAAGACCAGCTTATTAACATTGACTCCAGCTAGCAATAGTTCTGTTTTACCCTTTTCTAGATATATCTGTATAGGGAAGGTGAAAACATTGTAATGCAATGTCATCTTCATTGTTTTAGTTGAATTTGTTGTGCAGGCTTTTTTCAGATATACATTGCTAAAACTTCTATTGATTACCCATTTTGCTCAGTAATGTGCGAGACTTCAGTGTTCAAACTATGTGGGTAGCTAACAGCCATTAACTTCACTATTTGCTGAAAAAAGTGGACAGAAAATGAAATCTGCTTGGTGCTCTTTAATCATGAGGTCCCCTAACTACCATGGTATATTTCTAATAAAGCATTACACAAAAAAAAAAGTAAAATAAAATGAAGGTGCAGCTGTACACACAGAATGTTTTTGTCCTACATTTTTGCAGCTATAAATGTTAGCAGGAAAAATAGGAAAAATGATTTGTTCTGTGTATTTGTGAAGAGATGCTCAAGCTAAGCAAGTGAAGCATATCCTTTTAATATATAAATTTAACTTGTCATTTATTGCTTCCTGTAACAGGTAAAGAAATTTTGCTTTATCTGCCTCATTTTGGTTTCAATATGCATTTTAAGGTGGAAAACAGAAAAATATTTTGAGGTGTCTAAAGCCTGGCTAATGTCTGAGTTTTAACTTCTTGAGATTAAAACCTTAAACTAAGCTTCTTGCCGTGCTGGTCAGTTAAAGAACATCTAGATAGTTCTGTAGGAGTTGAGCACATGGGCTAACATCTTTGCTTGCCAGTTTGCAAGTGCTTTCCCTTGTTTTCTTTAAACATTGAACGTTTTACCTTTCCACTGTATTTAGCTTGTAAACAATTGGATTTCTGTGTGTGTATTTGTAAATGTTTGTGAAAGTCTTTAAATTGGTAGTTAATCCACATTCTGAAGACTACATGATTATGAGAAATCATGTGAAATAAAGTGATATATTTTGTTTTTAATTTCTTAGAGCAAGTTAATATTGGGAAATACTGAATGTTTGGTTTCAGTTGAACTTGAACTAGGTGTTTTTGATAAGTAATTTTGATGAGTGTTTATAATGAATGAGTATGGCTGAAGCTCTATGTTCAAATCAGAATTACAAGAAGGAAACCAGATGATTTTTACAATAAAGTAGGAAGTCCCAAACCAGAATAAATTTATCAGAAAGCAAGAATGATGTTTAAATTTTCTACTCAGTGAAACTTTTTTTTTTGAAATAAAAAGGCATTGGAGCCTAAAGGGTTTTTATTGAAAGTCTAAGTTTGTGCTGACATCCTGCCATCTCAGTAAATCTTGTTTGTTACCGCACTTCAGTCTCTGTGTCAGTAGAGTTTTGTAGCAGGTGTGATTTGCCATTCGATACAAACATTTATAGTTCTTTGAAATAGTATAAAAGCTTTGAGTGAAATATGAAGGAACCAAATTGAATGAACAAAAGATTCATCTGAGACATTAACAAAATATTTGGGTTTTGCTGGAGAAACAAAGGAAATAGTTTGGAGGGAAATACGTTTGCGGTTTCAGGTTTGTCGGTGTTTTTAAGTCATAGTGTTTCTGCTGCCACTGCTTGGTGGGAAGTAGTTCTTGGTTTAAAGTGTTCATCTATTCCTTTTGCTGTTTCTATCGCCTTCATGACTTGAAAGAGTGAGCATGGGAAGACTAGATGAATTTCTAAAACAAGCTTTTCCAACATCATAATTAAAGAAAACTTCAGAAGTTCAAGGGAATTCAGTCAGAAGGCGTTTGACATCATAGAATCCACAACTTCTTAGCTATGAATGTTACTCTAAAATACTAAGAGTAAATATGTTAATTTAAATGAAAACAGAGTAATATCAAATATTCAGTGAGAATAAATTGATTTGTACTCCACGTAGATAAAATTATTCTTACTAAGGTACCTCCATGCACAGATGAAAACTTCAGTTTTGGATGCCATATTGAATAGTTCCGTTGTTCACACTCATTTAAGGCACTTCTTCCTTTTTTTAAACTTTAAATTCAACATAAATACTTTAAAGTAAATCAGGTAGAATGTGAAATTTGCAGCCTTTTAGTGAAATATAATATATAACTTCACAACCTGTAAACTAGTTTAAATTACAAAGTTGTATTATTATTTTACTAATCACAGTTTAATTTCTTTCTCATAGGATTTCAAGAAATAGCATGCAAAATGTAAAGTTTTAGTTTTGCACTAACTGAAAATGAACTGCATTACACTGATGAAAAATGGTTAAATAATTTTGTTTTTAATTACAGTGTTTTTTGTTTCTTTAAATAAGGTACCAGTATTTTTTGCAAATTAAGCAGGACATTCTTACTGGAAGGTAAGACATTTTGTTGTGTTAAACATTAAATGCAACTTTCGTTGAGAAAAAGTTAGTGGTGAGGGATTTTACCTGCAAAAATAAAAATATATTTAAAATAAATTAGTGTTTATGCAAGTAGAAGTGTGTATAATAATTATCTGTCCAATTTATTCGTAGACTATGAAAAATTAGACTTTTCAAAATAACCAAATTTCATATGAAATATGTAATTTTATTTATTTCTCATTTTAAAAACAAAACAAAACAGATTGCCCTGTCCTTATAATACTGCTGCTCTTCTGGCTTCCTATGCTGTTCAATGTAAGTATAATTAATATTCAGGTACATGTTAGTACTGAAATATATAAAACGTAGTATTGAAGTACTGATTAGTTTCTAAGGAATGGAGTTTGTATAGCATTGTATTGCGATATTTATGGACATGATGCTACTTTTCTCATGATTAAGGAAATACGGTTGGTTGTTTTTTCTCCCTTAGCATGTTTTGCTGAATTGAATATGGGAAAAATACTGGTAATGTTCTCTACTTTCCTTCTTTAAACCCATGCAGTTAAAAAACCCCAAACCAACCGTCTTGTATTTCTCAGTGTTCCAAAGTGTGCGTTTGCTTTTTTTTCTTGAGAGTTACACTAAAGCATTTTTTGGACACTTAAACATTTTTAACATATCATACAGTGAACCTCCAGATAGGTGTGGAAAAAGGAATTCTGATCATATCTGGCCAAAGGGTTCAATGCCCATGTTGTCAATTTTAAGCCATCCAGTGAGTAGGTAAGTCATGAAGACTGAGATTTTGTCCTCTTCATCACTCCCCATTTCCCTTCATAAACTTAAATTGTTCACTGGAAAAAAAAACCCACAACAACCAACCACCTAAGAGACTGTTCAGCACTTGTTGAAATTTGTAATTGTCAGAAATTAAGTTTTATAAGCAATCCTGATATATGCATTTATATTAGTGTGGTTTTCAGCTATTAAAGATACATATATCTACGTTTAGTAATCCGTATGCTTTGTACGTATCAGAGAAAGAGTGTTCATGTTAATCTTTTCAGGGAAAAAATGTATAGTAATGTTAATGTAATATTTTATGCATAGTTTTGATAAGTGGTCACCTTTTTTCAGATCAATCAATAGATCAATTTCTCTGAAATAAAACTACCAGACTTCAGCTACTTGGACATAGATACCTACTGCAACTGCTCTCATGCCATAGGGGTTTGTCTTAGATGGGATGAAGTATTTGATAATGAAGCAGGCACTATGAAAAGTTTATAACATTTTAAGCTTTAAAGAATGCAATATATTTATTTTTCAAATATTGTAGAAGTGGTGGGTGTGCACTGTGTGTTGTAGTTACATTTAAATATGAGATCTCACTGCACTTAAGTTCTTCAGTGTGCAGACCTCTGTCTAATGATTTTCTGTGCATGCCTGTTACTAAACTCTCTCTGGGTTTAGCTCGTGGAATTCTTTATAGGTAAATAGCAGACGTATATCTTGAACAATCCTGTATTCTCTGTTGTGGATTTTAGCAAGACGCGCCTTCTGTTATAAAACCTGGTCTCATTTTCCAATTTTTAAATAATTTAAAATAGGATCTGTTTCTGGAGATGCAAGTGCCCCAGGCTTCTTTCCCACCTTCCCTTCCCTTGCTGATCCTCCCACACCACTGCAAGTGCCTTCATCCCTTTAGTCAGTTCTTCCATGCCCCATTAGTGTCAGTAGGCCTGTCCAGGACCCCAGGTCAGGCTGTATAGCTGTGAACTTTCCAGTTTTCACAGCTTATGTTACTTACCTATCACTGTAGATCTGTTACATGGATTACAGATATTTGAAACTGAATTTTTCTGGATTATAGTTAGAAAGCCTCAAAGGCTGTATTTTTAGCAGATGTTGTTTGTATGTTTGTTTTTATTCTGACAATAAATGCAATTTAATTTATTACTTACAGTTTTAAGAAAGAAATTATGTAGATGCACTTTTTAGTAGTTTCAAGTAAAGTAGTTTCAGTGTAGGTGTATGCGTGTACTTTTTCTCCATACATACAATTCAGTGTGCAAAAAAATATTTTTCTAATGCTTCTGAATATATGTTGGTGCAGAATGAGTTGGTGGTTTTGGCAGATCTTAATGAAGAAATAGCAGTTGTGGTGTTAAATGTATTGCATAATTACATGAAAGCAAGCAAAGGTAAAATCAAAATAGAAGAAAATCAAATAGCTTGAATTATATTATTTAGTGCTAGCCATTATGATGGGATTTATGAATTAATTTGTGTATTAAAAATTAACCATTTTTAAACTTCCTTCATAAGTATCTACTCAAAGCTCTCTTTAAATGATCTCCAGGTTATTCACTGAGAATGTGACTGTTTATTCATAAGGGGAAAAGGGGAGTTCAAACGTCTTACCTATTTTTGTTTGCTGTAGATCATAAAGTATGTGGGATCAGACTCTTGTGAATTTGGGGGCATTGCACAATGCCAAGTACATCAGTGATAAACAATAACCTCTCTTTTTAATATTTTAGCCGAGCTGGGAGACTACAACCATTCAGAAAACTTACCAGGCTACCTCTCAGACTATTCTTTCATCCCTAGCCAGCCTCAAGACTTTGAAAAAGAAATAGCAAAATTACATCAGCAGCACATGTAAGGATTTACAGCAGAAGATATTGACTGACTTTGTCAAATCCTGACTGCTGGTGCTGTGCTATTGTAAAAAAATGAGTATTTTGTCTTAAAGATTTCTGGTTTGGGTGTTCGTTTTTTGTTTGTTTGTTTTTGTTTTTTGTTTTGTTTTGTTTTTGTTTTTTTTGTTGTTTTTTTTAAGAGTACATTTAATGTAGATTATATAATAAGTACCATTGATACGCTTCACAGATAGAATATATATATGACAGAATGACAGGGAAAATAAGTGAAAAAATGAACATGTTAAAGGTACACTGAAAACAGTATTTGTATGTATTACATAGTAAATTAACTTAGCAGGTTATAATTTAAGAGTTTTTTTCAGTCTTTGAGAATGTTCTGTGCATAAAAGCTTTGTTTTCATGGTGCTCTCACCAATAGAAAAGAGTTACTTTAGAAGTAACAAAGAGCTTTTCTTCAATATCTGCTCTTTCCTGTATGCAAGTCTGTGACCTTTCACTAAAGAGGAAAAGGCAATGAAGCAATGGAAAATATTTTTTTTCAATATGTAACACTGTGGGACTTTTTTTGTGATGGTTTCTTGGTATTTTAGAATTTAAGTGCTTTTTGTTATCTTATAATTTGTTAAATTTAATTGAATGTTTACAAAAACATTTGCTTAATTGGGGCATGTTGTTGGCTTTAGAAACTACTGAATGTTATGTTACATTTCAATCAATGGCTTAGCAAATTCTGTTAGGTAGGGTAAAGAAATTAAACTGAGTTGATGGTAATTTAAACTTTAACAGTGAGCCTTGGAGAGAAATTACAGTTATCAGTACAAAATACAGGACTGCAAAAGTAACTTTCAGATTCTAGATATCCACAGACATTTAAATGATACAGTGCTTTAGAAGTAAAATGTGTGCATTTGCAAGCTGTGTTGCAGACTCTTGTCAAGACTTTGTCTCTGTGGAAGCACAACGTTTTTTCTGTTAAAATTTTTGGATTACAATCTGTTTATGGTGAGAAAGGAAATTCAAATTTCAGGGTGGAGGTAGTAAAATGAATGCAGATTTTTCTGTTGGAGCTCACTAGGGAGCCTAATAGGGGTTATGTTAGAATGTTTTTGATTTTTAGCCTCTTTCTTTCAGAGGGCTGTCTCCTGCAGAAGCAGAGTTCAATTATCTCAATACAGCACGTACCTTAGAACTTTATGGAGTTGAATTGCACTATGCAAGGGTAAGTTTGAATGAACTAGTATTGTAATGTAAAAATGGATTCTTCTGAGCTTTATGGAAAAATAAATATTTATTTTTAGTGAGCCTTCCTGGCTGCTGCTTACGAGAGAAAAAAAATAAAATTATATTATCTTACTAGGTGCCTAACTGATTTACCAATTTCAGTAGTCACTATTTCCCTCTACTGAGTGTGTTTCTTTTGCCTAAATTTGGACTTAGTTATACATGTGTTGTTCAGGTTGAGCCTTATTGGCCTGAATACCAGTTCAGTTGGCTACTGGTGTATAAGAAAAATGCACTTGCCGAAGGTGCTTTTGAATTTAAGGATCTGTCAGATTTGAAAAATACTTAATTTGGTTCCAGTTAGAACCAAATTATAAATCATTATCTTTATATAATATGAACTGCTAATGTAAGGTGAGGGTACTATAATTTGATATAGTGTCAGTTTTGTCTGGTAAGGCAAGTAGCTTGAGGCCTTGACTAAAATGGTTTTAACCTGTCAGTACAGTGCTACCATTTCTGCAAAGCCTCTGAATATAATTATTTTTAGTAACTAAAACACTTCTGTTATTTAAATATTCTTGTTCTACTCCCTAAGGTTAGAGAAACTTGCAATAGAATTTGGATTGTAACCCACTTCACTGCTTTCTGTATCCTACTGTTGTTGCACACATGTTGAAAGATCTATAGGAGGTGTTTGATTAGAGTACAAAGGTATTTCAAGAAAAATGTGCTATATTTAAATATGCTTACAATATTGTTTGTTTTAGAATCTCTCCTCTCTGTGTTCTGAGATTGCAATTTCCTTTCAGGTGGGAATTTAAGTTGGTGGTTGCTTTTAGTGTAGCAAAAGTCAAGCCAGTCTGAGTGCTGTTATTTGTAATAAACTGCTAGAATACTCTATATTGTGTATTTCTTCAAAGTTGGTGGAAGACAGAAGATCTAACTTATGAAATTAAAATTCTGCAGTATCTTATAAAGACCTCTGAGCAAACATTTGGATATTTCCTAAATAGGAATGAGTAATTTAATATTTACTTGTCTTATTAAAACACATTTCCTTCCATGTTAATTGAGATCTGTTTTACTACGGTATTTTGTGTATTTAGAGAGAGACGAGAATGAATATATATGAGGTTTCAAAGATATTTATATTGTTCTTCCAGTAATTCTTTTCTTTTCTTTTCAAGGATCAGAGTAACAATGAAATAATGATTGGAGTGATGTCAGGTGGAATACTGATTTTTAAAAACAGAGTACGAATTAACACCTTTCAGTGGTAAGGACAGCTGTTAATGTTTTTGTTTGGTAGTTCAAAATATATTTTTACCACTGCCAGTGTCACGCACTTTAAAAAAGACTGAAACTTAGTTGTAGCATATCAAGTTGGAATTTACCTCATGCTGTGCTATGGGTAATTTTATGATGGGCTTTTGTCCTGTTCTGCAAGCCGTACTGTTAAATGACTGTGGTGCAAACTATAATGAATTTTAATAAACCTTTTCTTCAGGAGTTTGTAAGCATACTTTATGGTTAATTAACTATGTAGCAGGGACCTGTGTTACTTACGGTCTAGCTCACAGTCTTTAAAGACAACTGAACTTAAAAATAGTAAAGTGGAAAATGATTGCTCTTATATATTTTGTCACATATAACTGAATTGCGCTCTGTGTGTTAAATTTAATGTAGGTATGGCACTTGAGGATAACTGAGATATGGTGCACTTAGGATACTGTCATCTTTTCATCCATAGACAACCATTTTCATGATAAGGATCAAAAAAGTGCATTTATTGCAGAAAACAGTCATTTATTTCTCCTCTTAACTACAATAATTTTTAAGCTGTTCTGTAAAAATGGAGTTATCCTCATTAAATATGTTACTGTAGTTATAATTCTTACGTTGGTATCCTGTTCTTACATACTCATATAAGAAGGGGAAAAATCTAATAGAAATACTGTTCTGCACTATAACTTCTACAGTGCTCTGTAGAAGTGCTCTACAACTTCTGTAGTGGTCTACACAAGTTATGTCACCTTCCCTAATGCTTTTTTTAGTTCCCACAGAAGTAACCTTCCCTTGGTTTCCTTTGCCTTCTTGGAATCCACTTTGACAACCTCACTTATTACATGTGCTGTTGAGTGTGCTATAACAGCATTCTGAGTGGGCGAAGTCAGCCATATGAACTAGACATCAGTTTACCAGGCACAAAAGCTGTTCCTTCTAGAAAAATGATGAAAAGCTTTGCGTTTTCATTTGCTGCCAATTTTGCATTTTTATTTGCTACTGATGTGTGTTCTTGGGCAATGCAGCACTGGATTTTTCTACAGTTCTTGGCTGGTCTGTCATCTTCATATGAACGGATTAAATTGATTACCATGGTTGAAACTGGAAGCACTTTACTCTGAATTCAAACTGATACAGGCAGTTGAAGTCCTTGGTTTTTTGTTGTTAACTGTTAGCACAGGGTAAGATCCATTACTTATAATCAGAATCCTTGCAGAAATCAAAGCTGTAAATCACAGTCTTGATCTTTCCTGCAACTCAATGAATTTCTGAGACAATCTGGTTTTCTGTGCTAAACTTAGTCTCAAGTTTTCTTGTAGGATGTTACATATTCTGTCGTTCACTATCTGCTAAAACAGTGTGAATGGTCAAATTTTAGGTAGATTTTCAGAGAGAAAGAAAAACCGAAGCTATGACATAAATGTTATACACGGCCCGATACAACTGAACAGAGTAAACATTTTGCCTCTAAGTATTCAAAGAAAAGTAAGCCTTAAGCAATTATGGAGCATGTAAATTTTCAGTCTTCATGGTTAGCTGGGTAAATTAAAGCTGGATTTTGCAATGATAAGTCTGGAACTACTGTATGAGTCAGACCTGCCTTTTTAATAGTGACGTGTTCTAAGAAAGATATCCTTCATGTGGTAAGAGTTTTGAAGTGTTAACGCCTTTTCTGAGTTAAAGCTGCTTTATAAAATGCAATGCTATAATAATCAGGAGGGTTTTAATTCAGGCTGCTTGTACTGCTGTTATTTTGGGGAAAACAGTAATAGTGGAAGTAGATTCTGTAAAACACACCGGTAAATTACTGAGTACATACAATGTAAGTCATAATTAAGCTACATGTCCTTACTGGAAGGTAGAGGTTTCTGTGAGCATGCCAGGGATGCTGATCTAAATTCTTAGTGTGTGTTGTTTTTTTTTGTGTGTGTGTGTGTAATTACCTAAACAGTTGTTCTTTGTATTCAACCATATCAGCTGACATCAGGGATATTGATTTCTTCCTGTGAAGGCTATAGTAGCAATATAATTGGTCTATTAAAAAAAAAAAAAACAACAACAACAACAAAAAAAAAAAAAAAAACACAAAAAAACAAACACCACCACCACCACCCCATTTGGTCCTATTATAGGCTTTCTTTTGCTATGAGTAAGGATCTGAAATGTCAGTTCTTACAATATAGCTCAATAGTAGATCTATTACCTTACCTTCTTTTATCCAGTCATGCAGCTGCTCCAGTGACACCAGTACTGATACTTTTCCTTCTTGCTTCCACTTACTCTTGCTCCTGTGCAACTGGAGCTGTGTAGTGTCTTCCCAGTGCTTTATGGCTACAGTGAGTGCTTAGTACTCCTGAGCTGAGTTTTGAGACAGGTGAGAGAATAGGCATGAATGTATGTTGGAAGAAATAAAGATTTGGCTGTATTGCTCAGAGAAGAATCAAGTAAAATGTCTTTGCCCTCTCCCTCTTAATTTGATATTATATCTAAATTGCATATTATAAACTTTATGATCATCTGGGAGAAACAAAACAGGAGGAAGACAAGACAGGTATAAGGCAAACCAAAGGAGACCGCCTTTTATCCAGTGTGTCCTGGCTTGATCTTCCTGTATTGTAGGAAATTCCTCTTTTCCCTGAATTGTGCTGCCAGGCACAGAGACCTGGAAATCCAGGGAGTAGATCTTGCCCTTGAAAACCAAAGGAGAAGAGTATGGAGTAGCTCAGTCTTTCGTTTGTTCACCTGTTCAGTAGTGGATACACACTTTCCTTTGCCTCTCTTTTGCAGTCAATGTACCCCGGGAAAGCTTTGTTGCCTTTCACATCCACTTCCAGCTGCAACTGCAGTTGCACTTTGGATTTCCTAGTTTTATCCCTGAATGCCTAGGGAGTACTTCTGTGTTCCTACTTGGTCATCTGATCCTGCTTCCACATCCTGTGCACTTCCTTTTGTGTTCGAGCTGTCAGCAGTTCTGAGGTCATCCAAGTTGGCCTCTTCCTATGCCCGCATGTTTTCTAGCACATGAGGATTCTTCTGGATTGAGAAGATCGTCATTTAAGATTGACCACCTGTACTCAGTTCCTGTGCCCCAAATGGCAGCTTCCAAGGGATTTTGCCTATCAGAGCTCTGAGCAAGCTGGAGTTTTTTCTCCTGAACTCCAAGGTCGTTTAGTCTGCCTCATCCCTCCTCACTTCCCTCAGGATCTTTAGCTTCATCATCTCACAGCTGCTGAGGCCAAGTTTGTCTTTGACTACTAAATCTTGGTAGTGACTTGTGCTACCAAGAGTATCTTCCCTGGTTGACTGGTTCAGGACCTGTGTCAAGTCTTGGTTGAGAAATTTGCTAGATTGCTTGTGTCCTGCCTTATCACCTTCCTAGCAAGGGTTGGGGCAGTAAAGTCCTTATTGAGAACCAGGGCTTGATAGCATGAGATGACTCCTACGTATTTGAGTACAGTCCTCAGTTTAGGACTTCTTAAATTAAGAAATATTTAAAAGATACATCTTATGATTTAGGATGTCTGAGATGACTGGAGACTAGAAAATCATCCCAGGAAAATACTATTGATGCCTGCCTCTTACCCTTTTCCTTGGATAGGTACTGTTGATGACAGAGAAAGGAAACATAGACAGACAAGCCTTTTGCTTTGGCCAAGTATGGATATGACTATTTAATGACTAGCAGGGTATTAGCAGTGCATATGAACTCTTTCTTACCTGCTATATCTTTCAAAAATAGCTGACATCTAGTTTTGCTGAGTCATTTCTTTGTACTTGAATGGCGATTCCTCTGGGTTGAGTTAGACATTATTGGCTAATGCTATAGTTTTGAGTTTGTTAGGCATCTGACCTCACTCTGCCTAAATTATGGGGTGAGATTAAAAAACAGTGTATATAGCTTTCATCCTTACCATTCTTCTTGAGTCTGTAAATCACCAAAGGCAGTAATTTTTTTGCAGAAGAGTGGAGGGGGAAAAAGTGAAAGGTAGTAGAATGTTTTTGTAAATGAAATAACTTCCATTTATTTTCAGGTTTCCTGTTGGCATGCTAAACAGAAGATCTTTTAATTGCCCTGTACCCCAAAATTTTAGAAGATTAATCATAACATACTTCTGGTCAACTGCAGCCTAAACAGTCTAATAAAACTATTTTCTGTTTTTTCTACAGTCAGACTGCTGTAATCTAGTGTCTATCCCCTCCAGCAAATTTAGGACCCATCCCTAATTATTCTTAAGCAATTTTTTGTCACAGGAGGTGCTATGAAAAATTGCTGCATTGCCAGTGGCATTGTTTCATTTCAATAGATAAGTTGTAGCCCCCTTTATAGTTTCTAACCCTTGAGAAAATAAGTTCAATAGTAACAATTTGTTAAGAATTGAAAAAAGCCCAACAAAACAGGGCAAAGTTATAGCTGCTGCTTTTTTTGGTTTTGTTTTTGTTTGGTGTTTTTTTTTTTTTTTAACTAATGACAAATCTAGGAAAGAAAAAAGAAATGAGAAAAGATTTCAATAAGCATAATTTAAAGGCTAATAAATTAGGACATCCAAGTTAGGTTGCTGCTGTGAATAATCCCCTGGAAAAAAAATGTCTCTGATTTAGTTAAGAAGATAATTTCTAAATATAGATATCCAACATAGGTGTCTGTTAATGTTTTGCTTCTTATGCTTCCTGGTCTAGAGGGGTTTTTATTCAACAAGGTGATTAATATGCAAGTAGTAATTCCAGTCACTATGGAGGTTCCTGTATATCCTTCATGAATAAATGTATCTCAGAAATTATAGCACTATCTTCACTGACTTGTTGTTGTTCATGTTTTGGCTTTTTTTTTTTGTTTCAGGTTTTTTGGAGTTTTTTTTTTTATTTTTATTTTGTAGCTTTACCAAGCCAATCTAATAACTTGAAGTACAGGGACCAGCAGAGATGACAGTTCAGATTAGTAAGGGTGCTTTCTAGAAACATGTTGTATAAAAGGTTGATTGTAACCCCAGAAGAGTTTGCTGTGTAATTTCCTGCAAGTTAGCTGTGTGATCTAGATTCTCTTTTGCTTTGAGTTTCATGACAATTGTCAGCAAAATCTCCTTTGAGTGAGATAGCATTTGAATTTAGTATTCTACCGTTTGCAGTGTCTTACCAGTTGTTGCATTTCAAAGTCACTAAAGTTACTATGTTTTTTTCTTGTTACAATTGTAACCTTGCTTTTATTTTTGACCAAAATAATACTGCTCTATATTTAATAAAGGATGTACACTATCCTAATACTGCATTTCTTTGAAAGAGTGTGTAGCTAGATTGTGATGGAAACATGCCCTGCCTTTTCCCATTTAGTATAACTGGCATTGCAGTGACCATCCAAAATTGTCTGGAATTACTGTCAGCATCTTGTATGTTTATAGATAACCTGTAAGACGAAAAGATCTGTAGGCTGATTTTTCCATCATTGATACTTTAAATGTTCTTACTCCTCATAACGTGGTGATTTGTTTTTTGTTTTTTAACTATAAATACCAAGATCAGAAGTCCTTGTTTCTATGCTTATATCTTGTCTTAGATATTATACTAAAACAAGTTCTGGTTATATCTGAAGACATATAAGAACACAGAGAAAGAATGTCTTTCAGGGATCAAGAGAAGTTAAAAGTATTTTTTTCATATTCTAAGGGATATTGAAAGCAGTCTCAGAAAAGAGAATATCTGGTTGGAATGACCTGGGGATAGAATAGCTTTTTGGCCTTTGAAACTGGGAAAAGGCACTTAAATTAATAACTGCCTTGTATTTAGGATGGAAACAAGTGAATTTGATAGATAACATAAATATGTGGCTTAAATTTCAAATTATACAAGCTATTTTTTATAATCTTCGATGTCTTATTTTTTTTGTCTATGGAATTTTCATGGAAATTAAATGAAATCTGTTCTCTCTAGAAAGTATATTTTCAGTAAGTGTATTTAAGCCTTTAACCATGATTCAGTATACTAAATGTTTAAATATTGCGATTTTATTTTTCATTTAGGTTGAAGATTGTAAAAATTTCTTTTAAGTGCAAACAGTTTTTTATTCAACTTAGGAAAGAATTGGTGAGTACTGTCTTGAATTTCATCTCAAAAAATGAGAACAATTAAATTTCTGCATACTGCATGTCTGCATTATACTCATTGATTTTAAGTTGATTCTTGCTTTTATCTGCAATTAAAAGTCCAGTTTTACCAATGTTATGGCTATTTAAGTTTTCAAATGGGCTTTTTAAGACCTTTTTTCACTTGATTTGCCTTATTTTAGATGTTTAGTTTTTAATTTTCAAATTAAAATCAAAGGCAATGCTTTGTGCTGCTTCAGTTGTATATCTGCTTGTAAGTAAATGTTTGATTAAAATATGCTGATTTGTATTATTCAGATTTGGTAATACAAGTTGACTTTACTACTTTTATTTAAACATAAGAGATAAAAATGTCTTTGCAGTTTTAAATTACATGTGGTAATTTTTTATGTTTACTTCTAAATTTGTTAGGGAAAACTTGAAGCTTTCTGTGAAGAATGTGTGTGTTTCACTGTCTGTGGTGTGTGTTTGCTACCCTGTGAAGCACCACAGGACCACTGTGCATTTAATTCAGCAAAAATGGATTGTTCCATGCCTCCAAGAGATTAGTCTAAACCCATTACAGACATATCACTGGGGAAAGATGGAGGAATTAATTAAAAATATGACTATGTGATTAAGTCATGTAATTAGTTAAAAGGTTTTGTGTAGTTCTTACAGCTGAAAGGAGTTGAAGGCCTGAAATGCAGAGTTACTAAGTAGATAAAAAAGATGGATTCTAGGACAAAATATATCCTAAGTATGATAGGATTATTCCAGATCTAGAGACATTATGGTAAAACATGAAAAATATTAGGAGGAAGCACCTATTAGGTCAGGCCAATGACTGGTGAGTAGTGCTCATACTGAAAACAGGTATCAAACTGTGTATCTGAAAAGCATATGCCTTTAAAATGAGGCCCAGGAGTTTGCAGTTTTCACAAACAGAACTACCTGACCACATGCAGACACTTCGTTGTGTATTAGTTGGCAGAAGTTTAACCCATGTGCTTGGAGCAGCATGAGTAACTATCAGTTCAGAAGTAGGATATCGGGAGTTAGAGGATTTTGGAGTAATTAAGTGTAGAAAGAATTTCACTTTGGTTATCACATGAAATAAACGAGAGTATCTGTTAGTGATCATGCAATGTGAGCAGAAAAATGGTAATGATATAACAAAAAGGATTGGGAGGGAATATTTTGTTGTGGTGACACAAGTATTTCTTAATACTCTTCAGGAGCTATAGGCTAGTTCTCAAAGGCAGACTGATCTGACAGCCCAGCAGAGGTCAAACTTTGTCTTGATACCAGTGTGTGTAACTTCTATTACAGTTGCAGGTATGTTGTATTTAGATCTGAGATGATGTCCTGGTTTTGGCAGGCTTGACAGATGAGAATTTAGGTTTTTATTTGGAATGCAGAAATTATAAACTGCAGTTGTTTTCTAAATCAGACCTTGAGGAAAAGTCTGTAGTAACAGAATTCAGGACCTTGAACACTGAGAAACCTAGATAGAAAATTGGGTTGGGTACTATACTTGAATGTTTCCTCTATTTTCTGCAGAAAAAAAATATGCATATAATTGAAGGTAATATAAAGGTAGCTTTCTCATCTTGTTTTTTCCTGATGCTTTTTAATACTCTGGATATTGTTACTTGCACCAAAATTTAGTATATGTAACTAATGTAATTTCTCTTGTGAGACATCCAAGCCAACAAATTAAAAAGCCTCTTACTGTTTTTCCTTAAATTCTTATGTATCAGATGAAAACTGATGGCAAGAACTTAATTTTCATTCATTCCAAGTCATGAATAACTTAAGATCAAAGCTCAAATTTGGCTTCCAAAGAAGGCATACTTAAACTAATTTTTTAATCAAACCTAATGTTAAAATTGTTGTTTCTAGAGTTACTTTCCCTGAGTAGACTTGTAGGAAAAGATTTATCTCACCTGTATTCATCTTCAATTAGTTTAAAAGAACATATTTTCTATTTCATGATAATTAGCGAACCAAAGCTAATCATTAGACTTCAGCTTTAATAACTAGACACATGCAAAGGGTGAAAGATCTTGCATGAGTTGGAAGTAGGTTTTAGGATGGATTAAGTTGCTCTCTGGTGGTACATGCTTACTTTTGCTTTCACTCCCATCAACAATAAAAGGAACCTAAATGGCTCTTTTTAGGCAGCAGAAACTAGGTGAAGTGACTCAGTGATTGCACATTTGGTATGTAAAATATCCCTGGTCTAGTGCTTTGAGTGTATGTTTAAAAGCACCGATTTATGATATGGCAGTGAAAATACATTCACGATATGCTGGTGATGTGTTTCAAAGTTGTGTGTAAATACAAAACGTTGTACAGCTGAACATTTTTTTCGGATGCAAAGCTGAGATGCTATAGGATATTAAATTAGTGGACTTGGGAGAGGAATTTTCAAGTTTTTATTTTTTCCAAACTGGGCTACATACGCTTCTAAGTAGTCCTAGACAGGTATTTTTCAAATACTGCTAATGAGTGTTGAGAGCTTTTAATTGCAACTGTCCTTAAAAGTGCAAGTGCTTTATCTTTTAATCACCTATTAAATTTATTCCCTGACTTGGCATTGCTTAGAGGCATCAACATAAGTAAAGAATTATTTGCCTACTTTTAATAGATTATATCTGTGTTTAAATAAATCACTTAAAGGAAGTCAGATGAAGCAGTTTAATGTCAAAGTCCTTTTCCACTGGTAGCGTAATATAATCTTGAATGGAAGCTGGTTTTGTATTTTGACAATTACATAGTTGCAGTGCACACTGACTAGAGTAGATTTTCTTTCCATTGTTTCTTTATGATTGGGTGTGTAAGGGTGAAGAATGTAGTATTGTATGACTACTTCATCTGACATTAAAGCCCCCTGAGCCATAACTTCAATAGCAGGTTTTTTTCACTGTATTTTTGTTTATTCTGCCTGTTCCATATGCTGCTTCCCTTACGTGCTTCGAGGCCATTTGAGAATAAGTTAGTAGTTTCATTTTTCTAGATACTTCCCTCAGCTTCTCTGGTTTTAGTTAGTTGAAGTCTTGGCTGTTGTAAAATCAATAGTCATCATCAAACCCTTAATGCTGTCCAGCATACTTTAGTGGTCTTGCTTCTTTGAGAGCCAAATAAGCTGTTCACATGTTCCTTTGCTCTCTTAGAGCCCAGATGACCAAAAATGTATTGAATCTGTAACAAAACAGTATCATAGGTTTTGTCTGGGGCCTAGACCTGACTTCAGAGAGTGGCCAAAATGCCCTTTTTTTTTTTTTTTTTTTTTTTCCCCCCTTTTAATTATAGATTATATATCTGAAGTTTGTGCTTTGAATTTTTTTCTTATTACTGATTTTCTGAAAAAACTTGGGCTGGAATCACAAAGTGATATAGGGGCTTATCTGACCAAGTATGTACTTGATTTTAAGTAACACTGGCATTCATTAGATGCCAATTGTTGCCTAATCCTATTGAAGTTTCTGCCATTGGATTTTTGCATGAAGAACAGATACTGTTGGCACAATCTGTATGGCATTTAAGCTTCCACAGGACTTTTGTCCACTAAGTGTGGAATACCTTAAATCTCTGGAGCATCTGCTGCTTATATAGTGCAAGTCTTTTCATCTCTGTGATGGGGGTAGAGAATTCTTGCTTTGTTCTGGGACTTTTCTTTGTTTTGGCAAAGTGAAAGAGACCCACTAGGGAATATGTTTTTCAACCTAGTTTCTCCTGAGCAGGGAGAGATCTGCTCTGAAGTCCCTGTTTCAAATCAGGCAAAGGTGGGTTTGGAAAAATGTCCCCACCCAAGGTGAATGTTCAAGGGCTGAGCTGTTGTATGTGAGAGGAGCACCAATAACCAATTCTGCTTTTTTGTTTGTTTGTTTTTTCCCTTTCAATAAAAGGAGCCACAAACATGACATAGACTTTACTTTGTGCTATCCCTCCAGTGTTTCTTGGATTCTGTCATGGACGCAACTAGTAAGATAGTAATTTCAGATCAGAATCCAGCTGTGACTTCCTGAGATAATCTTCTAGCTCTGTTGCAGCAGACATAAAACCCTGAAATACCTGTATGTCATTGTTATAACATAGAGCATTCAACATTTTCCTGGAGCCTTGTGCTAAAAACATTCTCATAGGTTGCAGTATAACCCACCAGTTATTTCATGCGATTTGGGGCTGAAATATCATGGACATTATAAATGTTGCCTTGGAGTCTTATGCTGAGCCCACGTTGATTCAAGCCTACTGTTTTCAGGGAAAACAGGGGCAATCTTATTCTAAATCCAGCTACCAGACAGCAGTAGAACTAGGGCTTTGCATCCCAGAATCATCAGCAAAGATGAAATTCAAGTGCCCAACTTGCATTTGGATATTAGAGAACCTGCAAGGATGGATAGGAAGAGGATGGGTGCACTTAGGAGCCAATATTGTATACTCTGCTTTACCTTAAAGATTGATTCCTAACTGTAATTGAGATGAAGTTTGAGAATCAGTTCTCTCTGCGCTGCAATGAAAGCCTTAAAAGCTATGAATAGAACTATTGTTAAGGTACCTTTAAAGCTCTAACACACCAAGTTCCTGTGAAAGTGCTGTTTTGCATTACAATTAAGCTGATCTAGCCGCAGCTCCTTCTCATCGTTCGATACCAGCTCCTCCTCCATGCTTCATGCCTGATCTAGTGATCAGATTGTGGTATGAGAATCAGATCAGCTCATTCTCTGGAATGCAAACTAGGGGAAACAGCAGGATATTTTTTTGTGTCATTGTCGTGTCCCCCCCCCCCCCATCCCATAATTATAATGCTTTGAGTGACGTGAAAATGCGTGATCTCAGCTCATATAACTTATCAAATTCTCTTTTCCAACAGTGTAAAAGGCTGACAGAGCATTAAAATATGCTACATCATGAGAACTTTTTGTTGGATTCTAAAATCTTAGCTGTTGTGTCCTTCACTGGATCCAGATGAGGCAGTCCATAATTTTACATAGTTTCTCTCTTGCAGAATAGTAATGTATCTTGCTTATATTATTGTGCATTTCTGTTGTTGATAAAGCCTTTTTTAACTGAATAGGCAATGGACTTAATTTCTGTTACTTTGTTTGTGACTTAATTTTTTAAGTACTTATGTTAACATGTCTAGAAAATATAGGGAACAGTTGTAATACTTTGAAATTAAGAAAAGAGATACAAGTAATTTTTTGTGAATTCAAGTAAAATATCAGGTTTTAGTTTCTTGCATATAATTTCTTGAATTTCACCAGTAGGTACTTTGAATTTTCTGTTTACTTTTTAAATCCATTTTATTCTTTACCCAAAATTCACCATGTGGCTGAAAGTTCAGTGTTGTTCTTGGCTGTTAGTCATGAAGACTTCCCAAATACAGCACTGGGAGAAGAGTTGAAGGTCTAAGCCCTGTATCTCAGCCCAGCAAAAGCTTAACTTAAGAAAGGACTCTGCTGCTAAATGAAAACAGTTAAGGTGTGCTAAATGTTGTGGAGGATGTAGTACTGTGAAGAGAGAAAGGAGTGCTGCTGATGTTTACTGACCTACAAAGGTTGTAATCAGGCTCCCTCAACAGGCAGAATACCTTAGCTTGCTTTGCCATTTTGCTTTTTTCTTAACCAGGAACCTAATTAATTATTTAGAAGTAGGCACATCAGTTGCCCATGAGATCAATACCTGTTGCCAGTCTCTAATTGGCACGTGTGCATGACAATTCCTTGTTTTAACGGTAGTAATCTTGAAACAGGGAGGCATGTTGCCTTTAAGTTTTTGAATCACAGAAATTTTTTAGAGTCCTACCTTTTGAGATCATTTATTCCCATCTAAACCTGTTGCAGTATCACTAAACAGACTTTTAACCTTTGAGCATGCTCATTAGCAAAAAAAAAAAAAAAAGAAAAAAATACCTTTAAAGAAAATGTAGAGGTATTTTTACAGTGTTTATAGTACATACAGTTAATGTAAAAATCAGAGAACCACTTCAAAAAGTGTAATTTAAAAAACCAAATGAAACAACCCCAAAGCTAACAGTATCTTAATTTCAAAAGTAACTGGAAATAATTTTTATATGAAATAATTTTTTCTCATTTTTAGCATGAATCTAGAGAAACGTTACTGGGATTCAATATGGTGAATTACCGAGCTTGTAAGAATTTGTGGAAAGCTTGTGTTGAACATCACACGTTCTTCCGTTTGGACAGACCACTCCCCCCTCAGAAGAACTTTTTTGCACATTATTTCACTTTGGGTTCCAAGTTCCGGTACTGGTAAGTGCTGATTTGAAATATATGGGCAAGAAAACAGGCAACTCATCAATAAACATGGGGAATTTCTTAGAATCTATATCAAAAGATGCCATAATTCAAGTAGCTTTTGAATCCTACACCTATTTCCCTCCCCTGTTAACCTTTGTTTCAAAAGTTGTCAGTAATTTTTTAGAATAGCTTGAAAATACAATTACTCTATTATTAGTGGTTATTATTGAGCCTGTAGTCTGAGATTGTCTCACAGGCTGCATTTCTTTGCCTGTTTACCTGTTGGGTTATGTGTATCTTTAAAATGTTGTCTAAATTTCAAAGTCTTTGACCTGGTGTTTTTGAAAACTGATGGATCTCAGATATCGTGTGTAGCAACAGCAGCAAAACAGACCTAAATAAAGATCAAATAGAAATCAATGAAAAGAAAATTCTACAAGTGAAGCCCACTTTAGCTAGATGCATACAAATAGGAACAAGATGAAGATAAAAGACATACGTGTTCTGCACCAAAACAGAAGCTTAGAAAATGTGGATGGAATTAAGTTCATAACTTTTAAGGATGAACCTAATAGGCAAAAAGCTTGGAGGTGCAAAGAATGACTGTGGAATAACTATAATCCCCAAGTATAATTTCTATTCTAACAGAGGATTGTGTGGTGTTGATTTTTAGTGTTTTATGCTTTTTATAAAAAATAAAAAATAAAAAAAACCTCAATTCAGTAACTGAGTTAACTGTCTGTGCAAGTAATGCAGAATACCAGTGGTTTAAATTGTGCCTGAAGTAGAGAATAATGGAGCTACTACTAATCATCCATCTAGAATGGCAACAGTGTCTGTGACGTACACAACAGGAGATGATGAAAAGCTTGAAAAACACAATAACAGACTATTTCTTTTACACTTGTGAATTGCATAAATGTATAAAGAGGAAAGTAATTCAGTGGCTAAATTTTTATACCGTCTTTTTTTTTGACCAAAATTCACAGCACCCATTTGAGAAAGAACTCTGTGATCCTGAACAGTGTTTGAGACTTGCTTCAATGTTGCTCTAGTGAATTGGGGGGAGGTTTTTCATTTCTGTAAAGATTTTGAATTCGAATCATTGTGGTTACTATTACAGAATAGTTCTTTGATGATGACATTCAATTTCTGTTAATGTCAGATGAAAAGGAAAACTGCATAAAAACGAAGAAGGTCGTTAAAGTTAATGAAGCAGCCAAAAGGCTAGAATTTCTGCAAGTAGTCTGAGAGATTGTTTAGAGACAGCATAATAATAGTAACACGGCACACAAGGACAGGTTAAGGACACTGGGTTTATTTAATCTGGTGAAGAGGAAACTAAGGGGGGATTTAGTAGCAAGCATAAAACTACTTTGAGGGCCGTGTCAGAAATGATGGAACCATGTCAGAATTAATGGAGCCAAATGATGGCAGATGGTAGAACAAGGGGCAACAGCCACAAGTTTCACCTTGAAGATTATAGCTGGACATTTGGAAGAGGGAAGAATTTTTGGGTTTGTTGGGTTTTTTGGTGTTTTTGTGTTTTGTTTTGGGTGGTTTTTTTTTTTTTTTTTAGGAGGATAGTGAATTTCTGGAACAAGTTATCAAGAGAGGTTGTGGGATCTCTATTTTTGGAGGCTTTCAAAACTTGGCTAGACAAAGCCATGGTCAGACATGACCCAGTGTTAGCAGGAGATTGGACTAGAGACTACTAGCCAATGTTTCTGTGATTAAAACAAACTAATAAAATACTGAACTTCCAGGGCTAGACAGAATTATCTCCAGTTCTGAAAGAAATCAGAGATAACTAGATAGTTGAACTACTGAATGTGTTATATAATCTATTATTTCCGTTGAATTTAGAGATTCTAATGCAGCAAATTTTAAAGCAAGTTTGTTTCTTTGTTTGCTAGTTTAATTAAAAAAAAAAAACTTCCAGGAGGGATCAAGACTACTGATGAGAAAATCTGACTTCTGTACACTGTCCTTGCATTTTCAAAGTGGTTCTAATATTATTCCTGAACAAATACTCAACAAAGAAGTTAAAGTGCCAGGACATTAAGAGTTTTATTGTATATTAGCAAGTGTTTTACCAGATAGGTCCCTTCTTTGCAACGAAGGGAAGTTATCACTGAAGTGAAAGAGGTTTTTGTAATGAAAGCTGAAGTTGACTGTAGAAAGTTTCAGTGGTATGTTGCAGTGAGGGGTGAGTAGGCAATAAAATGGTAGATCAAGTTCAGTGTCCAAAAATGAACAGTAATCTACACAGGGAGAGAAAAGAGGAGAAGCACCCTTTATAAATACGCTATTACTGTCTTGGAGCTTTGTGGTTTCCTGAAAACATTAACTCAGTTATTAGTAGCAGTTAGAGAAAGTGAAGTACAATGTTAGAGTTATTGGAAAGGAATAGAGGAAAACATAGACGGTTTACTGCTTGTCAGAGTTGAAAATGCGTAACTCCAGGAAGTTAGCAGGCAGCAGGTTTGAAAAGAGAGATTTCTTAGAATCACAGCATGACAGAGGTTGGATGGCAGCTCTGGACACTGTCTAGTCCAATGCATTGTTCAGACAGGGTCCACTGTAAGCAGGTTGCCTAGGACTGTGCCCAGCCAGCCAGGTTTTGAATGTCTCCAAGGATGGAGACTCGATGGAGACTCTGCACCATCTCTGAGGAACCTGATCCAGTATTTGACCACAGTAAAAAAAAAAAAAAAAAAGTCATCTTTAGTGTTTCTTCGTGGTGGTGGTTTTCCCCTCCTTCTGTTTAAGTAGGTTATCTCATATTTCAGTTTGTGCCCATTGCCTCTTGTCTTGTCTCTGTGCTCCCTTGAGATGAGTCTGGCTGGTTTTTTTACTTTCCCCCTTCAGGCATTTATACTTATTTCACCCCCCTGAGGCTGAACAGTCCCATCTCTCTCAGCCTCTCCTCATATATCGGATGCTCTGGGCCCTTGTCTTTGTGGCCCTTTTCTTGACTGGGGGGACCCTGGCACTCAGCACAGCACTCCCAATGTGATCTCGCCTGTGCTGAGCAAACCTGCTTTCCAGCCACTTGGCCCTCAGCCTGTGCATGGGATTGTTCCTCCCCAGGTGCAGATCTTTGCATCTCCCTTCACTGAATTTCCTGAGATTCTAGTTGGCCCATTTTTCCAGCCTTCATGCATCCAGTAGTTCTGTAATATGTATGTGAAAATAACTAATTATTCTCCATTTTCATAGTGTAAATGTCCCTGTAAGGAACAGAGAAGAGCAGAGTTTTAAGTATCACTATCCTTTTAGGACACGTATCGTCTGACTCTGTGCCTTGTTCTGAAGTTATAAATGGGGAAGTGGCTGCAAGAGTTTTGCTGGTTATCTTTCCACCAATTCTTAACTGCTTATAGACACTCCAAAATAATTTGTATTTTTTTCTAAAACAGAAATTAAGAAATATTATAAGGGATATGTGATTTGACAGAAGACATCTGGTCTTATATGAAAAGTCATCAAGTTCCAAGATCTAATCTTGGTTTTGACAAGTTGCGTAGAATACAATTCTGATGTGCTTATCTAATATCTTCATGATATATTGCTGAACTAAGCACTGACTAAGTTATTAGCAATTCAGGGAATAGTTTAGGAGTACGGAGGAGATGCTGTAACTTTTGCTTGTGGCTATAACAGGAAAGATTAGAGTGTTAAGCGTTATCCAAAGATCCAAAAAGAACTTTCTTATCGCTTTGAATAATAAGAAGGAAGAGAAAGCTTTGTTATGCCTAAAATGAATTGGTCTTTGTTACAGTTAGACTGTAATGGGAAAGAAGACCTACACTTCTACCAGATGCTTTCTAAAGTTACACTGTACTGAAGCTAGCACAATTGCTTGAGCATGACAGAAAATAGAATTTAGGAGGTATTTTTGAGATGGTTCAGTTTTAAGCAAGAAATTGTTATCCTAGGTTTGTTGCATTTAGTGGTTTTGTTTTCTTTTGTTTTCCAGTGGGAGAACAGAGGTCCAATCTGTGCAGTATGGTAAAGAAAGAGCAAACAAAGACAGGGTATTTGCAAGGTAAGCAATTTAGATTTCTACAAGATCAGTAAGTCTTCTGTTTAGATCTTTTTAGATGTTATGGAGTCATTGTTTTCTGTTTGCAAAAATGTAAAATAAAGAACAACTGTTCTTGCCTGTTGCTGGTGGCTTGACTTAACCGTATTAAGGAGTTTAATTTTGATATGGGAGGATGTCTCTTTGGGGCAGCCAGAAATGGGGGAGAATCTTATGGTGGAAAAGTTAATAAGGGTATTCTTTAATATTTCCTCCTTTATATATTTTCAAAATTCAGACTAGCCTTCAATCTGTTTACTTTGTTACATGTAGTAGCCCTCATTGTGCTGTCTTTATTGCAAAGAATGGTGTCTCTAATTATTCCGTTAAAATATTGAGCTGATACGTATGTTTTGTCCCCGTTACAACCTAAAACGGTACACATATTTCCTTTAGAATTAGGGACTGAGAGTGTCTTCCTCAGTGAGAACAGCTTTATCACTATAGTACCACTGAGGTATTTTATTATGAAGATGTGACTGGGCGTAAGCTGCTGCTGAAGATACTCTGTCACAGAGTAGTTGACTAATCATAGAATCTATTACTTAATTGTGTTTCAGACTCCAGAGGGCTTTAGTGATTACAAGAAAACAGTCAAAACACAGAGTTAATTCTTAATTCAGAAGTTATGATACAGTATTCAAAAGTAAAACTGCTGCTGCATCTATTTGGCAGTCTGCTCTGATCATTAACAGAAAGAATCCTTACAGGGAGGGAGCATGCTCCATGCTTTTTTTATGCTTATACTTTTACTGAGATGGGGAATGTTTTTTAGTGTAGTTACCCCTGAAGGAACTCTGGAGTTCAAATTTATGCTCACAGACTTCTAGTAACAAGCCCAGCGACCTTTCTCAAGTACCTGCAAACACTGTTTTTCAGAGCATTGGTCAATTCTGCATTGATTTCTTGCCCCCACCTCTTTTTTTTCCTTATGAAATATTGAGGTTTTTAGCTGAGCACGCCGTAGATACCCAGCTCCATATTAGAAGGATTTGGGAATAGAAGTGCTGGAACATGTTTGTTCAACAGGTAGATTTTATAAGACCAATTTGCTTTGTGCTGAAGAATTATTTTTCTACTCTATTTAATTTCCTTTGAGAGTCTGGTTAGATTTTTACTTGGTTCAACTTTTTTAGTACTCAGAAGACTCAGCTCTGTGACAAATGAGTTTTATTTATTTAAATGACAGTTATGAATTAGTTAAAAACTGTTTTTCTTGTTGCACTCTGAACTTGGCAATTCCCCATGAGTAAGTAGGATGGAGGAGAGCTGATACGTGGTTTTGAGGAGTATATTAATTGTTTTAGAAACTCTTATTCAGTAGATGGCACTCTTCCCTTTGTGTCAAAACTGAACAAGTGGTGCAGGGGTCACTTGTGTTTTGTGTTTGATATATTCTGGATAAAATTGAAAGCCATGGCTAGAACTGCTGTGATGCTTTCTCAAGTCTTTTGGGCTTCTTTTTAATTAATAACATACTTGGCCTTTCTGTCCTCAGTAATTTTATCTTCTGCTCTTGCTTTTAAATTAATCAGTATAGCATTCATCCTCGCCTTTTGAGTTGTTTAGTGATATTGATGACTGATAAATGTCTGAGGCATAAACACATACGTCAGTGAACTGAAATTAATGTCGTATTGTAACAGATACACCTCGAAAGTCTTGTAATAGTTCATCTGTTTCTTCCTCCATCCTCACCATCACAGTGTGCAATTAATGCATTTTCAATTTTTAGGTCTTCCACTAATTTCAAGGGTGAAAAAGCTTGAAATATAAGACATTTCTAGAACACCATGTGGTTCAGGAAGCTTAATCAAAGAACATTATCTTTAATTCTTTGTCTTCTAAACATTTATATTTCAAGCTGAAAAGCTAAGTAGGTACTAACCCTTTTGTATTCATACAGAGGATAAATTTTGCTTTTTAAGGTTTTCCAGGTATAATGTGGTTTTTCTTCCTGGAACCTGCCTTTCTCTTCTCAGTGTGTCTTTCTCAAAGTCATTGTGTTGTTAAACAACCTTTTAAGTTGTCAAGCAGTAGGCTTGTTTTGGTTGCTTTTGAAAGTTCTGCTAGGTATTGGTTCCCTTTTACTGTGAAACCAGGAGTGTGCTAGCATTACAGTCAGCTCTGTCTTCAGAATTAAATGGACACATTAAAAATTTTAAGTAATTACTGTTGCTTTTATTGTTACTACATCAGGGGATATATTCAAGATCAGCTAAAAATATATATAAAACAAAAATGTTTTCAGGTTGTTTTTTTTCTAAAGCTATCCATATTTACAGTCAGTTTTCTTATCAGTATCTAACTAGAAGCTGCCTTATTTGAGCTAATGCTGTCAAAGCAAACTTTTGGATCATTGTAAGAAGGTAACACCGATAGTTACATTGAGATGTTATTTGAGTGATCTGCTTTTTTCTAAGTAGGGAAATGGTGATTTCCACAAGTAATGGTCATCTTGCCTTTGTACACTGAGTGGAACATAAATATAGAGCACAAGGCATGGAAACGAAATTTCTTAACAACCAGGAGTTATAACCTACAGTTAGCAAGTTTAGCTGTTTGTCCTCAAGATTTTAATTCAGAAGTAGCTGAAGTGGTATTAATAGATTTTAGGGTTTTTTTCCAAATAATAAAGCCATTTAAATTAATTCTAAAAAATGGAATCTGTTACTGTGAAGGAGTCTAATACATTTGATAACATTTTGTAGATGCTTTTTTCTTAAACTTCATGCAGCACTAAATTCAACATTTAGAAGACTGTTGCTGCAGTTCTTCAGATTTTATTTTGGTTTTTTTTTCATCTTCATTACAGCTATTCTCTTGGCCTCGTTTGTTGCAGGATATTTACAACCCAAGAAAATCCCTAAGATTTCCCAGGAGCATAATAAAAGTGAAAAATGTTTGATCAAGTCATGAATTTTGAGAGACTTCGTGAAGAGCAGTGTTGTCTCTTAAAGTCCTTGCAAAATAGTCTAATTCTGTTCAGTTCTGGTCATGTGTACTGGGGCTGAGAGAAGGTGGTTTATGCGCATTGTATAATAGTGAGTGCATATCTGTCATTTGTATTTGCAAACTTCTATCACTGTTGCAATCTCTGTTTCCAGAAAGCCAGTCTTGCTTCAACCATGCATTTATTCAGGTTAATTAAATAATTCCTCAGTTGCTTTAAATTGCATGTGTCATTTGTGGTGTATCTGCAAATTTGTGCATAGTTTCAGTCTCTTGATCTGAAGCAGTGATTGCCAGTATTGCTCAGAAACACATTCTGTGTATTCCTTGTCAAAATACAAAGCAAGGTTGTGGCTCCAGGTTATATTTCTTACGGGGACAGAAATGATTTAAGATTCCCACCTGTATTCCCAAACAATACCCTCTTTCTTTCCCAGCTCCTGTGAGAACCTAGCACTTCAGCTGTGTGGGATGAAAAACAAATTCTGTCTTGGAAAGCTTTTGTGTATGGTAGCTGAGCTAATATAAGTTGTCATGCTTTTTTTTTGGTTGAGTTATATAATTTCATGGCAACTACTTATTTTTTTGTATTTGCCATAGTATTGCATCTTGTAAGACTGTCCTTGATTTTGGGGACAGGTAAAGTTTTTGGTCTCTGTCCCTACTCAGATATGATTTATTCTAACTTTTTTAGGAACTGTCTCTGCAGATACACCAAAAATTAAATCTGAAAATAGTGTAGTCTGTTCACTAGCAGTGCCCTGCGCTGAGGTACAATAGAAGCATCCAGACTGAGCAGACAGATATGGAATTTAGAATTTCAAAGTTTATCAAAGCATTTCAAAAGTTTTTTATAGCTTACTTCGCCCATTTCCTCAGCTGCTCTGGCATGAGAAAGTCGTTTGAATGTTGTAGGGAATTAATGATACAGGAGAAATTTGCAGTAATATTTTGCAACATAACTTAAATGTTAAGAGAAAAATAGCTTATTGTTAGATTTAGAAGTGTTGGCAGAAGAACTAATGTCAAAAAGTCACAGCACTGAGAAGTTCGGTGCTGCAGTGTGGTAATTTTTTCTTTGAAATTTCTGCAAAGACAGGAAATGGAGGCAACAAACATCAGTGGGTGGGACTCTGAGGTTAGAGCTGTTAATAAAATAATTGAAATGAACCTTTGCTGATAAATGCAGCAGCTGTTTATCATGGTAGTAAGGTATTATTTCTGAAAGATCAGACCAAATCCACAGTAAAAGGTGAGTTTTCTTAACAGTGGATTTTTTTTGATAGGGAAGAAGGTGATGCTTTTCTTATTTTAGATTTACGTTCATTTGTTGCATAGATTGAGGAAGTTTCCAAAAATGTAGTTACAAACTGTGACTTCAGATACAGTGCAGTGGGGGTTTTTTTGAAACAGTCAACAATGTAATTTTTGGAAAAACCTTTTTCCCCCTCCCTATATACTTTTGTGTCTCTCTTTGTAATTTAAGTTTTTTTATACAGGCAGCAATAGTGCCCTTTCACTATTGTTGCCAAAAAAAAAGAACCAACAACAACAAAAAAACCCCACCAACTTTCCTATATTTAACTTGTTGCTTTTTCACTGAAGTTAAATAAGGTTCAATAGCTGCCTTTACATGTCTGTTAGAAAATACTGAATCTGCAGTCCTGTATCTACCTAATTTAGCATTAGTTATGTTATGTTCCTCTGCATTTTTCCTTCAGCCCATTCTTTGGTTAGTAGAATCCACCGCTTGGCAGAGCTGGCTCTTGGTGCTAATCTGCTGGCTGCAAGCATGCTATCAGTAAAGGCTAGCTAATGATAGCTTTGATTAATAAAAGAATAATGAACGGATAACATTAGACATGCATTTCAGTTCTGCTGTTTCCTTATTATTTTACCTGTTCAGAACTGCTCAAATTTGCTATGTTTGTGAAGAAAAATACCTAAGTGGTTTGTGTTACTTATATTTGCATCTAATTACAGAAATTGAAATGTTGGCTTAATTGACATGATATCAAGCTAATTACTTTTTGAATCAAATTAATACTGCTTAAATGCAATGAAGCATGCTAAGAAACTGGATGTGGTTTTCCTCAGGAACAAAATAATTTCTATTTTCCCTGTTTTCAAATATCAATCTACGATCAGATTTTTTTTCCCAGGTGGAGTAAGACCTGAAAACAGTAGTACTTAGATTAGCCCATCTCATTTAACTGTCTGAAATTTGTCAGCTGTTATTCTGGTAGTCTTAGAGCAGCAAAGCAGCATGCAATACATGTTCAGAACTGCTTGTGGGTGTAAAAAGAAAAATAAACCCTCCGCACACAGATCACCACTCCTCTAGTATTGAACAAACACTGTCGACCTCAATATGACTTCTGTTTTTCTGCATGTGAAGATAGATTATCCAGTATGACACTTGGTGGTTTATTGTTACAGACTTGTTTCATAATATTGAGGACAGTCTGCTTAAGGTGGTGGCTTGCATTGAGTTTTAAGTTCAGTGAGAAGCAAAAATGTATTTGTAACTATGGTTCTCATTTTCAGAAGGATGTAATATGTGTGTGGGTAGTTCCTTAATTTCTCAAAGTTCCTTCTTTCTGGACCTGCACTTGCAGTAAATCAGTAAATTAATAATGATGTAGATAAAAAGAACAGTTACTGTGTGTCCCAAGGACAGCAAAGGCAGAAGTTATTTTGTGATATGGGTGTATGGAGCTGGGGAAAGAAATGAAGGAGTTATGCTGAGACAATACAATGTTGTTCACCCCATTGTGCAAAACTGGAGAGTAGATCATAGTGATAGAATATAAATGGGAATGAAATTATCATGGCACAAAAGACTGATGAAATTGAGGTATCACTGGAACAAGAGAGGATTGGGTAATGATAGACGAGAGATTTGAACTACATAGTACCATCAGAGTAGTAAAGTAAAAACCTGGTACACAGGACTGTTTAAAAGAATTTTTGTTGTTGGCTAAAGAATTTTCATTTGAAAACAACAACCAGCAAAAGTCTGGGTATGTTTAGTCGCAGGATGACTGAACCATCAAATGTGATGCTAACAAAAAAGCAACCACAATTCTTGGATGATTCATTTGATGATTTCCAGTATAAAAGGAAAATATAGTATTTCATGAGAGATTGCAAGTATGGTCTCATTTGTGCTTAAGAAATAGGTGAAAGAAACAGCAGAAGGGGATTGTAAGTATCCTGGGATGACTGGAGAATGAGAAGAAAGTTTCCTCAAGAGTGAGAAAGGGCAATGAGTAGAAAATAACATTCCTTTTGTATAAAAACAGTGGTGATAATGACCTTTAACCTGAAGGACATTTTTGTCACAAAACCAAACAAAGTTTGATTACCCACAAAGAAGTTTAAATAGGATGATTGCAGCTGCCTTACAGGTGACAAAACATGTTCTGGAAAAACACATGTCTCCTTGATGGAAATCCCTGATGAGTAAATAAAACTCAGTAGCTCTGTTGCCATGTTGATGATTACCCCATTTTAAGTTCTTCAAAGTCTTTGGGAGTTTTTTTGGACTGATGTTTCCACTGCTTTATTTTTCCTGAGATGGCTGAATAGCTGTATTACTTAAATGTTTTTTTGGTTAGTTGGTTGGTTGTTGAGTTTTTTGCATTTTTAAGTTCAGAGCTCTCAATGACTATTCTGTTTGAGTCAGATTCTCTTTGAGGCATTAAAAATGCCTAGTGAAGTTAAGTGGGTACCTCTTCCATCTTTCCCGTTGACCTCCCAGCCAACAGTATTTTATGATTGTATTTCATTGACATTCTTGTGCAAAGTATAGAAAATAAAGTACAGTATATTGAGAAAATACAGAACTGCCCAAATAAATATAGTTTTGTATTATTATATTTCCCTTCTTCCATATAATACAGTTTCCTGTGATAGAACATCAGTTTCATTGTGGTGAATTTTATGTAATTTTGTTGTTGCCTCATATAATTTTTGCTTAGCCATTTTACTTTCTTATTCTAGATCCCCCAGTAAACCCTTGGCACGGAAATTAGTGAGTGGGATGGACTGGGAAGTGGTGAGTAGGAACTCACTGTCTGATGATAGGTTGGAAACACAGAGCTTACCATCACGGTCTCCACCTGGAACACCAAATCAGTAAGTAGCATCAAGTCTTCTCTCCCTACTGTCTACCTCTAATATGAGTGACCGAGTTGTAGAATAAAAGGATTATTGCATTATGGACACAAATAACTTGACAAGTTATGTGCTGATTGTTTCTCTGGAACATTTAGCTCCAGATAAGAGAAACTATTTGGGGGTAAATTTTAGGTGCTTCTCACTCAAACTATAAAAAGTGTAACAAGTAGCATGCTACCCTAAAGTTGAGAGCTTGAGTTTTCTCAAGCACAGTTAAAACTAAATTATTCATTTGGCTAAGAAAAAAAAACCTGACTAAAATCTGTGTGATATTTTAGAAATAATCGATTCTAGTTAATACCAATTCTTAAAACATTGGGGAAAATTACTTAATCCAAAATGCTTGGGGGTTTATTCCCCTCAATTTTTCTGCGATTTTTCTGAGATTTCCTTTCAAATCTCACTCTTTTTTGCATGATGGAGCTTTCTGTTTCATATTTATAGCTAGTGAAAAATCATGCCTGATTTCTTTTAGAAAATAACCAATTTTCTCAGTGTGCTGAATTTTCTCAGTGGCTTAAGAATCAGTATTACCTGATCTTATTGTTGCATAAACCAGAAGGTTTTAAGATTCTTTGGCATTGCAGTGTATTATTTAAAAATTGTAAAAATTTTGTAATAACGATGCTTACAGCATAACATAACTTAATCATTCATGTTTCAATGCATTTTAAGAAAGACACCTATGTCACTATGCTAGTTCTCAAATGGGAACATTTCAGGTCACAGAAATGATAAGACTCTCAGTGCAAAGCTTATGATTCTTCTAGGAGATGATGCAGGGGATAAAATGTTCATCTTAATGAATTCATGTTGAGTTTTGCCATGAACAGACTCAGGAATTTTTTTAATGGGGATTCATTTTTCTTCTCATTGACTGGACTGTCAATCCAGTAACCTGTTCATTGGACCATAATGCGTTCAAGCTTCATTTTTAGAGAAATAAAAAAAAAAATTAGCCATTTAGTGGTTATAATTTTTTGAACACTTTTAAAAAAAAATATTAAATATATCATGTTGATCTGACATAATTGTTTCAGTGATTTTTGAAACCTTAAATTATTTAATAAAAATATATATATATGAACTTGTGCTTGTGCTGAGAGGAAATAATTATTTTAGCATTCCTTTGTAGTGATATAAGAAATGTAGGTTAATAGTAATATTCTTTTCACATTACACTCCTATGCTTCCCTCTTAGTCGCAACTCTGCCTTCACTCAAGAAGGAGCCCGGTTACGACCCTCATCAGTTGGACATTTAGTGGACCATGTAGTTCACACTTCCCCGAGTGAAGTATTTGTAAATCACAGATCACCGTCTTCCACCCAGGCTAACAGCATCATACTGGAATCATCACCGTAAGTTGTGTTGGTTGTTACTGTTTGGTAGTGTGCAGGGCTTCTGAAGATAAGTCAGAAATCTCTGCCATTAAGAATTTAGTGTTTAAATGTCTGTGGCAGGGAGATCCAGAAAATGTAATAAAAAGGTAGCAGTTGTTTAGGGAGTATTAGTATAGGTCTTGTTGAAAATTGATACAGAGGGAAAGACCTATATCTGACATGTTTCTGGTGCAGGATTACAGTACCTTCCCCATCCACCTACTCAAAATGTGGGTTTCCTGTAATGTGACCATGAGTGTCTGGATGTGGAAGCGAAAGTTGGTTTTTTTCGAGGGAACTGAAGTATGTTGTTTGTGATAAAAGTTTTTAATTCCTGTGAGTATGGAAATTTTGCTTTTTCTTAAGGCACAGAAGTATGAGCGAGCTTTACAAATTACTTAGACAAAATACCTTTTAGCACACCAGCATTCTGAGGTTCCTAGTATGTTTTGTATATTGTTACAGAGTATATCTTTTTTTTTTTTTTTTTTTTTTTAAGATAACACTATCAGCCTTTTTTTCTGTTATGCTGAATATTCTTGATACTGTAAGTTTACTGTGCTGTGGTGGGCAAAATAAAAATATTGTGTATTAAGTCCAGAAGCATGACAGACAAAAAAACCCCACTGAGTTATTAAAAATTTTTAAATACTCAGTGACTTGAGGTGAGAATACAGATTAACTGGGGAAAAAAGGTGCATAATATACACGTAGTACTAAACTTGCCCTCATAATTTTGTATAATATCTGTAAGCAAGGAAATTGTGCAAATGGTTTCAAAACTATTTGAGAACTATAAAATAGCACATACATAATTACATGTCTGTAAACAAATTGCATGTCTCAAGAAAAGTTACTCTGGGAAGCTATTCAAACACAATTTTAAAACCTTGCTTGGACTGTACCTTCAGTTTTAACAACTTTGCGTAACTTTCAGGCGGAAAATAGAATACAAAATTGTTAAAGTTTAGTAAAATAACAATAAGATCCCTTCTATGATAGGATACAATAGTTGTAATTTGACCATCAGCTAGTTATTTAGCTTTCAGAGTTATAAAACAGTAATTTGACCTAATAATATAAAATCCACCTTTTTTTCATGGACTTTTTTAACCTATTCACATGGCAAGGGAGTCTCAAAACTGGAACACTTGTGAATCTTTTCTCATACCAAAAGCCATACAGGGTAAGGTTCCTTCTGTTTCAAGACTTCCAACTGAAGTCTATTCTGAGAAACACTTCCTGAATGGTGGAGTGATGCAGTGAAGTAAGCACAGTTCTTAAATATTCTTTTATTTATATGCCTTTAAGTTAAGTTGTAAAAGATGTTCCTGAGCATCCTTGGGATTTGTTTATTTAATACCTGATTTCTTGTGTAAGTCACTATAGAAATGAGTCTTAAAAGACAGGAAGTGGTTTTGTAAATTAGTTATGCAACTATGGCGGTTCTTTTTCATGTTTTTGTGCTTTCTGTGCCCAAGCAGAAAAACTATTCCTCTTCCATTGCTAAGTTTTGGGATTTTGTTTTTGTATTTTCCCTTGTTGGAAGTCTGAAAGTGGAATTTAATCTCTCAGTATAGATATCTAGCATAAGATAGTTTTAAGAATGAGGATGTTGACTGTCAAAAATACATGAACCCCATTAGGGTGTTCTGAAAGTTTCAGATGATGTTATTGATTCAAGATTTGAGATTTATGAAATAAAGTAGTAGTCGTGAAGTTCATATTAGCTGTATAATTTAAAATCATAGAATCATAACGTGGTTTGGATCAGAAGGGACCTTAAAGATGATCTAGTTCCAACCCCTCTACCATGGGCAGGGACACCTTCCACTAGACCAGGTTGCTCAAAGCCCTGTGCAACCTGGTCTTGAACACTTCCAGGGAGAGGACATCCACGAATTCTCTGGGAAACCTGTGCCAGTGCCTCACCACCCTTACAGTGAAGAATTTCTTCCTTAGATCTAATCTGAATCTATCCTCTTTCAGTTTAAAACCATTACCCCTCATCCTATCCATACACTCTCTGATAAAGAGTCCCTCCCTGCCTGGGAAGTACTGGAGGGCCTCTATAACCTCTATAAGGTGTCCCCAGAGCCTTTTCTTCTCCAGGCTGAACCACCCCAACTCCCTCAGCCTGTCCTCGTAGGGGAGGTGCTCCAGCCCCCCGAGCATCTTTGTGGCCTCTACTGGACCCATTAAAGCAGGTCCATGTCCTCCTTATGTTGGGGCCCCAGAACTGGACACAACACTGCAGGTGGGTCTCAGGAGAGCAGAGTAGGGGGGGAGAATACTCTCCCTGGACCTGCTGGCCACACTTCTCTTGATGCAGCCCAGGACACGGTTGGCTTTCTGGGCTGTGAGCGCACATTGCTGGCTCATAGTCAGTTTTCCACCCACTAATACCCTCAAGTCCTTCTCCACAGGGCTGCTCTCAATCCACTCATTGCCCAGCCTGTATTTGTGCTTGGGATTGCCTCAACCCATGTGCAGGACCTTGCACTTCGCCTTGTTGAACTTTCATGAGGTTTGCATGGGCCCACCTCTCAAGCCTGTTGAGGTCCCCCTGCATGGCATCCCTTCCCTCCAGCGTGTCAACCACACCACACAGCCTGGTGTCACTGGCAAACTGGCTGAGGGTGCACTCAATCCCACTGTCCGTGTCTTTGACAAAGATGTTAAACAGCACTAGTCCTAATACTGACCCCTGAAGAACACCACTCATCACTGCTGTCCATTGGGACGTTGAGCTGTTGACCGCAACTCTTTGAGTGGGACCATCCAGTAAGTTTCCTTATCCACCAAGCAGTCTGTTGTCAAATCCACGTCTCTCCAATTTAGAGACAAGGATGTCATATGGGACTGTCCAATTCTTTGCACAAGGCCAGGTAGATAATGTCAGTTGCTCTTCCTGTATCCACAGCACTGTAACCCTCTCGTAGAAGACCACCTGATTTGTCAGGCACAGTATGTCCTTAGTGAAGCCATATGTGATAATGTTTTACAGTCCAAAAAGTGATTTCTTAAAGAATTTTACCTTTCTGAGTGAAAAGCTTTGAGTAGTCCGTCTGCTAATTTCTTGTCAATTTTTATTTAATTATCAAATTTACATAAGTAGGAAAGTCAGGGTGGCTAACCTGACAGGCCGTAGATTTGGTGATCTCTTTGAGTTTGGAGTCAACGTAGCAAAAGAAATTAAGAGTTTCAGTGCAGTTTAGAAGGGTATTATAGTTTAGCTAATACAGCCTTTAATTCCACATTTTTTTCTTCATTTGCATGTGCTATTTGAAACTAAATTGGGAGATTTCTGCTTGTAGTTCTTTGAAGTAATTATAACCTTAAATTCCAAAAGCACATGATCAGTTTAATAAATTTATGGAGCTGTGTATGAAACTTCTGCTTAATATAATAAAAGGTCAGACTGGATATCTGTAACAAAAATACCCAAAGCTTTTCAGTGTCAGGGTTTGTGTGTTATTTTATTATTATGTAAATTGCTGAGTGCAGTAACAGAGAGCTGCTTTGCCTGCAAAATAGGCTGCTTTCACTGCCATTGTCTAAGCATTCATAAGGAAATTCAAAGCTGACTGGGCAAATATAAAGCAATGAAGTTTTTGCCCAAGGCTTGATTGTTAGTTCTCACAATTCATTATGCTAATATATTATAGTACTTGCATTGCTGTTTCTAAAATGCTCATTTAAGTAACTTTTCAAATCTTTTCTCAAGTTTGTATGTTCGGTAGGAATTTATTTGTGTTTGTTGACATGTATGTACAGACATCTAATCAAACATAAGATCCCATCTTTTTCTTTTATCAGAATGACTTCTTTTGTGTCTCTACGCATGTTTTCTGTTCCTTTGATATTCAGTTTAAAAGTCTCAGGAGTAATTGTTTGCAGGAAAATACATAACTCTCTTGCCCTTCACTTAAAAGGCTGAATAATCTGTGCTGACCAGGCTTGAATGAATAAATACATAAGCAGTTAAAAAGCTCTGGGTGACCTTTGTAAGTCAGCATCTAAATAATTTATAACAGTCCTAAATTCATTTTTCAGATTTTGGCAACCATATTTTTCTCTTTATCCGCAAAAATGAATATAGAAAAGCTGCTTATCCTGAAAAATAAAATAGAAGGATATGCTCTTTTTTACTACCACTTGCATTGAAAAGTGTTAAGAAATATTATTTTTATTTGCTAATGTGTTTTGAACATGAGATTCTTCAGACATCAGATAGTGAATAATTAGTACCTTTCCTTTAACACTCCATGAAAAAAAAAAAAATCTGAAAGTTGAAATTAAGCAAAAACATACAGAAAAACACTGTTAGGATCTTTTTCAAATATATTGTTTTTATACACTGACAAAAAATTATTTCAATATTTTGTTTTCTAAGAAAATTGACTAAACTTTTAAAAACTGAAATGGAAAATGTGTGAGTTTTCAAAGTGAAATGTTCCATTTCCTACTCAGTTTTCATGCTTTTTGAAAGAGGTTCATCCTATATTTGAAATCAATGTAGAAAATTGTGATAGGATTTTTTGATTTTATTTGAAAGCATGTATCTGGGATCTGCCTTTCTTTAATTCCATGGAAACAAATTATACGCTGTGGATTTTGATGTGTGCCTTAGGTTTTCTAGCTTGCAGCAACTTGAAATGTTATGCTGTCTCATAATGAGAGTCTTACCCTTCCACCGGTTTACTGTGGCTAGACCAGTTAAATACAGTAGGAGTACTTACATGGTTACCCATGCTTTTTAGAAGGATGTTATGCTATGAGTTACCGCTACAACTTGCTGATAATGAAAGAGGCAGTGTCCTGTTTCTGGATCCTGGGAATGTACTCCCTCCCCACGCGGTGGTCAACCCTGTAATGAACCAATTCACCTTGCTGAACCAGCAGAGCGCTACCCAGGCTTATCCAAAAAGTCAGTGTATTTTTGCTTTCTTGGTCAACTGCCGTAGGCCAAGGGAGGAGCACCAGAGTGCTTCAAGGAAGGAGCCACTGGTGTGGGTAAAAAAAAGAATGGAGGCACCCAATTTTGGTGGTAGTGCTTCCTTTAGATATAGCTGTAACTTGTAACTTCATACTTGCTGTTTTTTTAATTTGCCATTAGTATCAGTGAGCTGTTGTCGTAAGTCATTAAATTACTTAATAATACCTTTTAATGTGGTTCCTGGAGAGGAAGGCATGTATCCTTGCTGGTATTTAGAAACTGGCATTCAAACTAAGTTAATGGGAACTATGTGCTAACTGACCTTTTGGGTGTCTGAAAATGTTCTTCTTAGTTCTTAAATATAAAGCCATATAATTGAAGATGAATCATATATTTATGTAATACAAATTATACAGTTAAGCTTTTATTCCAAAAGGACTAATAAAGGAAATTATCTATATTATACATAAACACAGAGAACATTTTCATTAATCTACAATAGAGTGCTTGCAGATCTAAAACAGAAATAGAACATTCTGCTATTTCATCTTCAGTAATGGTGTTATAACTCAACTAAAAAATGCATGCAATGAATGCCACTTTTACAGGTGTTTTAGAGCTGCGCATGTTTCAAGGGGAAATATGTTCAAGATGGGGAGAAAACAGTGTTAACTTGAAATGTATATGTACACTTTTGAATTGAAAAGTTAAATTTTAACACACTGTCATCTCCAGTGGGCTTTTCAGATAAATGCAGGGGGACAGTTGAGTTGTCTTCAACTTGCACTTCTCCTATTTTTATATCAAAAGCCAGAAACTAGTGTGGGTGCACTTTATTATGCTGCTTGTGTCTGTTTTTAAGATTTAAATTGCAGACATTTAAGATGCAAACTAATAGATTTTTTAACTGAGGAAAACATATTAAGTAACATACCTATTTTGGAATTCCTTTTCTTTAAGCAAGAGTGCAGAGTATAAATACAGTTAATTTTATAGTATTCCAATATAAAGTGGGTTAAGAGTGTTAAAACCATTAAAAAAAAAAAAATCACGTGTACTTAAGGTGAACTTACTGGTTTTGTATATAGTTGCTTATCAAGGAAAAAGCTGTAACATGTCCAAACATACACTTCGAATATATTCCCCCACAGTACACTTTTGAGATTCTAAAAATACATACAGATATTCAGCTCTCAAACTCCTGCATTTCTTTAGCATTTTCAGTTTATTTGGAGCCCTGAAAGAACTGTCAATATCTCATGATCATTCCACTTCATACTTCTATTTTGGTATTTAGATCTCAAGAGACTCCTATAGATGGGCAGCCTCCTGCATTACCACCCAAACAATTTAAAAAGAACAGTTGGAACCAAATTCATCATTCACAGTCACAGCAAGAACTGGATAACCATATTAATGAAACATTTGATGTTCCTGCATCACCTGAAAAATCCACAGTAAGTTTTTGAGTCCCGTTTAACCATTCTGCTTTTTATCAGAATGATAATGCTACTTCTCATGAGCTCTGTTCTGATGCATTTCAGAGAGTTGTTGGGCTTGTGTATTGCATTGCAGCTTTTCCATTATACACACTGTCTCTTTGCTACCTCCCACTATTTTTATCCCCTGCTGGAGTAGTCCATTGTCAGTTGTCATCCAGTGACCACATTGGGATGGGTATGCAGACATTTTTAACATTGGCTTTTCAGTGCATGCAGAAATTTCCAACTAACCTCTTTGAGAAGTCTTTTACCATCGATTTTAAAGAAGACATTGCAGACACTACCACTGGCGTTTCATCTAGCTTTTATCAAAAAGCTGAAACTGAAAGTGCCTGCCAGCTTCTAGAGCAGCTTTGTCAGGAGAGGCTTCTTGAATCTGTGGTTGCATTTCTCATCAGAATTTCCAAGAAAGAGACTCTACCAAGAGACCTGTGACAACAAATGTAAAAATCAGAGCAAAAGTTCTTTTTCCACATGTAAGCACATGCTAGATGAGTAAGCTAGTCAGTTGATTATTGTCTGACCGAGGTGAGATATCACTAACCGTTTTTGTGATTTTTGTCCTTAAAGAACTTTTCAAATGGTTCTTGGTTTTATACTGATGTAGGATAAGAAACATTTTGCAGGATGGGAAAACTGTTTAACATCCAGATGTAGCAAGTACTGTATAAACATTTTAGCCAACCTCAAACATTCAAAATTATGAGTCAGCTCCCAAAATCGATATTTTAGAAATGCCTTTGGTTTATTTTTATTTGTGTTCTGAACTCTAAGCCTACGGTGTTTCTCTCAGGCCTTATTACAAACTTAAGATTCCCATAAAGCCCATATTTAATTTCATAGCTGGTGTTTTAATGAAACATGCAAAAATGAAGCTTGTAAATTTATGAGCATTTTGGGAATGTTGTAAGAAATTTTGCTTTAATTAAATGATGAAACAGAATTTTTAACAGCTTTGTCTTCTGCAAGGGCTTACCTGAGTCATCTTAAAGTACTGTTCTGTTTTGAAAGATAACACTACTCATGAAATTTTTCTGCTCTTTATTGAGTTATCTTTACCAAATTGACAAAAATAACTTTCACTTTTTTTTTAACTCCCTTTAGTTCTGCAAAACCAACACAGCTGCATGAGAATGAGATTCTTTTTTTGCTGTGCATTGTCAATGTGGTTGTTTGCTGTGGTCCAATGAGCTGCATTTATGCAGCCTCACATAGGGCAATACACTGTTGTAATTGAAGATCTAATTTGGTCTACTGATGGCTTTTTATTTTGGGTATTAGAAGAAGGAACAGAGCATGACTCTGAAATTCTGTGAAATTGTAAATTTAGGATTTGGAATGTGTTTTGGTGTTTTTTTTTTTTTTTTGGTTGGTTTTTTTTTTTTTTTTTTTTTTTTCAAAATTGCTTTTCTGACTACAAGGCGCTTCAGGTTCCTTTACGACAAGTCTCTTCTCCTGCTGCATCTCACATTTTAAGGAAAACCTGTCACCTTTTCGACTTCATTTAGCTATTGAATTTCCTTCATCTGTTGTATGTATGGAGAGTATTTAGAAAGGTAGTAGGACAGGTATGGGAATTACAAGTTTTTACTCTATCTGCAATCCCTGAATTTCTAGTCTGAGAATGTCCCAAAGTATTTGAAAACGGGTGTGGCCTGGAGTCCCTTCAGTCAAACAGGTTAATACACAGTGCTCTCTTCAAGTTTTTCATTATAAACTGCTGCTCAAAATAGCCTCTTAAAGCAGGAAATTATTATTCCCTTTCTGCCTGGGGAATGAAATGGCCCAAACGTTGCCAAACGCTGCAGATGAGCACTTAATGGTTCTTCATTCTGCCCAGGAACCAGAGTCTGGTCTCTCATGCCAGTGAACATAGAATGATTTGCATAGGATCAGGCTTTCTAAGCTCCCTTCCATCTCATTAGCATATCGTAACGCTGTTACTTTCCTCTCCCAAATTTTTTCATTTTTTTTTTACTAAGAATGTGTTTGGGGGCTTTGGTTTTGTTTTAACCAAGAGCTTTAAAACACCTGAAATTGAGTTAACTTTTTATGAGCCAAGTTGATCAGACTTCTTTTACCTATTAAACCTGTGGATTTTGAAGTTTCTTACATATAGAACTGTCTGTTTCAGTAAGTTTTTTTGTTTTCTTCCCTTCGGAATATGTTTTATTCTTTGGCTGTAATTGGTAACATTGATAACTTGAAACAAATTTCTTTAATAATACTTCACCTCTTCCCCACAGAAACTATAGAAATACTAGCTAATGTTCAGTCTGTGAAATAAATATTGATGGGAACAAACTAAAAATCACTTCAATAGCACTAACTTGATTTTTCCAGATTAAAACAATATCTAGTATTCCTCTGTTTATTGTTAATTCCTTTAACAGTGTTGTTGTGAATGGAATGAAACCAGAAAGAAAGCAGCTGAAATTGTCAGAGCATGGTCAGTGCAGTGCATGTGTCACACCTTATACTCTACTACACTGGAAAGGGAATAGGGGATATGGAACCAAGATTTTGTTGCCAAACTTGTCCTTGCTTACAACTGTCATATTGCTGTTACAAAAGTATACCTTCAACTACCTTATTTTTCTTCATACTACATTCTTACTACAGGCTTTTCACTACTGTCTTAATTAAAATTAAGGAGTTTCAATTTAGTAAACTGTTTTTCTTAAGACTGCTTAAAGCACATTAGTCTTTTCTAATACTGCTTCTTACTTTGAACATGCTTTGACAGAACACACTTTTAACTTAGTTATATCCAAGACTTTTCAATGTGTAACTTTTCCCTTCTGTGCAAAACTCAAGACATCTGCACTATTACTTGATGTTTTCTTAGGTCTAGTAGCAATTACTTGATGAGGAAACTTCAAAATTATTGCATACAATATCCTCAAATCTAACTATGAACAAAATATATATTAATATAATACAATTTTTGTTTACTAGCCAAATGGTGGTGTCCCCCATGACAATCTTGTTATGATCAGAATGAAACCAGACGAAAATGGAAGGTTTGGCTTCAATGTAAAGGTAAGAGTACATCTATTCCCTTCACGTCTATTAAGACTTTTTTTCTGACATTTGTCATTTATTACTAATTTAATTTGTTTTTAAAGGGTGGATACGATCAGAAGATGCCAGTAATAGTGTCCAGGGTAGCTCCAGGAACACCTGTAAGTTATCAAAAAAGCAAATTTCATAGGAATATCTGTGTATCTTGAAGTATGTATTTGAAACTGTAAATTATTTCACAGCTGCCTATGAAAAATAATTTGTGCTATAACATTATCATAACAAAGTAAATTATGTGCAGTAAGAATTTGATGGGGCTATGTAACATATTTTTTCGAAGTTCTTCAATCCTCAAAAATATTTTTTTCTTACTGAAACAAAGTTTAACTCCTGAAAATGACAGGGTGTTACAGATGCTCAGTATGCACTGTTTCTTGAGCTGTGCCATCCTAAAAATACATTTACTTTATTACTTTTTTTAAATATAGGCATTCATATAATTTCACAGAAATTATATATTGAAAGAGTCTTTTAGTATGTTAAAAATAACTAAAATAGCAAATCTCTTATTTTAGTGACAGATGTAGCTGAATAAAGCCAAGATTTAGATTAAAATCAAACATCATGAATCATTCATCAGGTCTGATTGTCTGTTGTTACTGGGTTTTAGTGACTATCAATAGTATCTTCAAAGTAGGCACAATATTTTGTCAGTTGATTGCCAAAAATACTGACCTGGTATTCAGCCGACTGGAGTCAGCTCTGTTTATACATTTTAGAGTAGAGTGAACCATTTATTTGCTAGCATTTAAGTAGTACATCTTTCTAATTTTTTGACTATTTGAAACTACAGACGTGTTTGCCAAGAGCATTGTTCTTGTCCCTGTTAATTATTGTATCTGAAATATTTAATAACATAAATAATTTTGGCTGAATGCTTTAAACATCCAGTCTCTAGGGAGAAGATATTAGGTGATGGCATGTGCTCTTTCTTTTCTGCAATAATGTTTCGACTATGATTGTAATAATGATTTATATTACCTGACGCTTCTCTGTGGGATTACTGGGATCTGTGCATTGTCTTCAGTCCTTGTCTTACTCTTGTTATTAGAGTTGTGATATTTCACACCTGAAGCTTTTAAGCCTGTGGAATTGGTTTGGACAAGGCTTTGGGATGTTACTCCCTTCCCTTCAAAGATAAGAACATCCTTTTTTAATTGCTTGTAAAAAATGTGATTCAAATAGGGGAGCTTTCTTCTTCAGCCAGCAACAGCTGCTGAAAGACATGTTACAATGACAGTCACCTCCCAGTTGCAAATTGATTTTTTTCATGTCAATGGCACTGTCTAATGTATTGTGTAACATTTAAATTTATCATTTGAATACAATGCAGCAACCATAGCAACTAGACTGTTAGGATTCAAGTCCCCAAGTATGGTTACTTTAAATTGCTATTTTAAGGTGAGAAATTGGAAATGGCTTGTTTTACATTTTTTTTTTTTTTTCTCCACCTTGCAGGCTGATCTCTGTGTCCCTCGTTTGAATGAAGGGGACCAGGTTGTACTGATTAATGGCAGGGATATAGCAGAACATACCCATGATCAAGTTGTTATGTTTATTAAAGCTAGCTGTGAGAGACACTCAGGGGAACTTGTGCTCCTAGTTCGACCCAATGGTGAGTGATTTGTACATAATAATAAAGAAATAAATGCATACCTTGCTTTCATTTTCTAACTTCCATTTCGTGCCCTGAGATGGAATGCTTAACTTCTTTGTCAGAAAACTCCCTTCCTTGAAAAGGAGTTGGAACAACACAATGTATTGTACAAATCTTGATCAATCCCTTACTCTAAGGAGCTATGCATAACTAAGTGTTGAAAATTAATAGAAAAGTCAGAGATCAAATATTTCTAACAGAGATCTAATTTGAATTTTATTCTCAGTCTCATTGATAAAAACATCCAGAAAGCTATATGAATATTGAATGCAGTTTCTGAGGTTGCTCTTATTCCCTTAAGGAAAATAAAAATGAAACACAAACAAAAAACCTCTCACCAAACACCTAGTGTTTGGATGACTTTGGATGTAGATATATGCAAAATCCTTCCATATGTTTTTAAAACAGTCCAGAATGACTGATTACATCTCTACTTGAGGAGGCTTAATAGAAGAAAGTGCTAAAAATGCAAACTAAATAACAGCTTATGCAATATATTCATGAAATATACTGTTGGAGCATTGCCAGTAGATAGTCACTGGATTTAATTCTGCTGCACATCCCAATTATAATACAGTTGCAGAGGAAAAAGCAAAATGAAAAATAATGATTTTTAATAAAAATAATTGAAATTACTCTAGGAGAGTACCTCAGCCACCTTATAAACAATTTTTTCTTCACTCACTTACTTGCACTCCCTACTTACTTGTGCTCTCATTCTGTGTGTAAGTTATCTTGGAGCTTTTGTGCTTGCACTGTTTTTCAGATAAAATTGTTAGGTTTTTTTACAAATTTACAAAAAGAGTTTCCCCTTGTGTGTTGATTATCTGCATATTCTGGATAAAAGTGTTTGAGTTGAAGTGAGGAGTTGCCAGTTTCCTCCTTCATGGTTATGGGATATTTAAAAACAGGCTTTCAAACAGCATATGTCTCTATTATGTTTAGTAGAAGATGCATATTATTTTTCAGTTTATTCTATAGGCAGGGCACATGTATGGCATTGGTAACATTATAATGGCATATATTAATGCCATTTTCTCAGGTGGTCTGCACATCGTGCCCAAATAACTAAAGCCTAAAATCAGTTCAAAGTGGATTAAAAATTAAAATGTAAATACAACTATAATGGCTTCAGAGGCATGATGTATATGAGAATCTGAGATTAGGGAGTTACATCAGACAAGGTAGGATATAACTGAGTTTTGATCAAAATTTTAGCAGTCAGTGATGTGCTTTCACTTAAAATTACTATTGAACAAAAGAAAATAGTTTTGTCATGGATTTGAATGATTTAATTAAAGCTAACTGCTCTTGCTGATGGGGACTAAAATCAGTGTGTTAATAAATGTGGATTCTTCTATGGGATAAATACTTGTCTTTTTTGCCATTTTAAATAAATGATTTAGAGTTAACTTCACTTGCCGAGCAGCATGTTCAGTCAGAGTGTTCATACCTTTGTTTGTTATAGCTGTCTATGATGTTGTGGAAGAGAAGCTGGAGAGTGAGCCTGACTTCCAGTACATCCCTGAGAAATCTCCACTTGATGGTGTCCATCAAGATGACAATGCTCTGAGGGAATCCATGATTCAGCTAGCAGAGGGGCTTATCACTGGAACTGTTTTGGCTCAGTTTGATGTGAGTGTCATGTTGCTTGTAGCTGCATGCAAGTTCCAAGTCTTTTGGGATAGTAATTATTTTAAGCAGACCAGATTTCAGTTAAATTTTGGTAGAGTCAGCATGTTCTAGAAAAATAATTCTCTTAAAAGAAAAATAACCAAGAAATTCAATCTTGTATGTGTAAACTTATGGCATAAAATAATGCTAATACTAGTTTTTAGTGTTTGTTATAAATAGCTTTATTGATTACTTAGAGCTTTTGGTGGTTATCAGGGAGCTATGCTAATAAAATATTTTCATAGACACGAAGACTGAAAAATAAATACCAAAATATGTGTTCTGTACTCAGACCTTCATTCCCTGTCTAAGTTACTGTAGAAACTGAATGACAGCAGAGCTGTTGACATTTGAAGGACAGTCTCAATGAGGGAAAGTAAAATTCCCAATGGAAAATACAACCCTAATCTTAAGGGTTACAACCCTGATCTTAAGGGTTAATGTAACAATGTCTTTTATAAATAGCTTATTTTTTGATGACATATTTTGAAAGAACAGTGCACTTCCTACAAGGTCCTAAGAAGTTGATAGCTATAGTCTTTCTTTAGCACTAACTTGTGTCTTGATGATATTCCATCTTTAATGCTAGAGATCAAGTGAATTCTGAGAATTCCTCACCAAATGGAGACCTAGCATTATGTATTACAACATATATTTATAAAATATACACTATTCTCTAAGAACTTTGATAAAATTTACTGTTATATACAGAAAGAAAAGAATTTCTCAGTGATTTAAAATTCCTCCATAGCCATACATTTTCAGTCTCCCAAACAGGTTCAATGTTTAAAAATTTTTAAGGTGCTTTTTATTGAACCTGGATCATTTCACTAATACTGGTTGCAGCACAAGGGTTGTGGCAGTTCATGGCAAAGGCATGAGAGGGCAGGAACCTCTCAAAGAAGATTTTGTGCAGGAAAAGCACGAGGTAGCACAGGATTCGCTCCACAGTTACTGAAGTATGGAAGGACATCTGAAAATAAATTTAAAAAAAAAAAAAAAAGGTGAAACAACTGCAGTGCAGGTAGATGCCTACGCACAACATAATATGCTTGCTCTGAATCACCATGTGGAATGTCAGTATCAGTCAATTCCCTTCCCAGTGTGAAATACTGACTTTTCTCTGGATCAGTATTCTTATGGAAGCTTGAAATTTAACGCTTTTCTTTCAACAGATTATGATGATGTCTTGATTATTTTCAGTGATCCCACAGCATAACTAAATTCATAGTGCTTTCTTTTGAAAAGTATTTTCATGTGTGTTGAAGGTACTGTTGTTCAGTTCATGTTCTAAAAAGTACCTCTATGCAAATAATATACTAACAGGTCTTTTGCATATATTATGATCTGACCATTGGTTTTGTCTTTTAGCAATTGTATAGGAAAAAGCCTGGAATGACAATGTCTTGTGCCAGATTACCTCAAAACATTTCCAAAAATAGATACAGAGACATTTCGCCTTGTAAGTATGTTTGTTTGTATATTTGTTCTAAAAGTATATTACTGTGGTTAGTGAATAAGTAACATCTTTCTAAAAATTTTTTCAGATGATGCTACACGGGTTATTTTAAAAAGTAATGAAGATTACATCAATGCAAATTATATAAATGTGAGTAGTATTTTTCAAAAGAGCTTCTGACATTAAGTAATTTTACAGTTTTTCAATGGAGAAGTTAATTTTAAAAAAACCCACAACATTTTCATAAATCTAGCTTAGACTAGAATGGCTGATAAAGCTGTAGTCAGATGGTTTGAAAAAATTTACTCTGTATATACTTAATTGCTAATGCTTTGTGGCAGGTGTTTCTATAAATTAAACCAAGAAAACCACTACCAGAGGAATTCTTTCTTTGTTTCTGATCACTAATGTGGCAGTAGTGTTCAATATCAGTAAAGTTTAATCTGGCAGCACTTTCTTTCTTTATTTTTTTTTTTTTCATTGTCAGTAACAACAAAATTACAGCTACTTTTCCTTTCAGGAACAGAAAACAGAGATTAAATTGAATTCCAAGATCAGTATTTTAGAAGCTACTGTCAGAAACACACACAGCGTTAAATATTTGCACCTGAATTATTTGTCAACGTGGTCTATCATTTCTTTCTTTAGTCATTAATCTTGATTATGGCAACTAAATAACTGTCAGTTAATATTTGAAGTGTATTTGGATCTTTGTAATATTTGTGCATGTGAAGCACTTTGAAGAATTTTCATCCGTGCTAATCCATATGTACTAATTTATAATAAAATTGATATAGTTGATACTTTTTTAGTTTATTGGTTACTAACCACTAAACGTTTGATGCCTGACTTACATTTCCTGTAAGAATTAAAATTATTACTTTGTCTTGTCTTAGATGGAAATCCCTTCTTCCACAATAATAAACCAGTACATTGCTTGTCAAGGTCCATTACCGAACACTTGTCCTGATTTTTGGCAGATGACTTGGGAACAAGGCTCATCAATGGTTGTAATGTTAACGACTCAAGTTGAACGAGGCAGAGTAAGTAAAAGATTTCCTTAAATACTACTTGCATAATCTTCTAAAAATCTGTTGGTGATTAGCCTTTAAAAGATATAGGCTAAAAAGGAGTATACTGTTATGACATATAATATGACAAGGGGTAATGGTATTAAACTGAGAGTAGATTTAGACTAGTTACAAGGAAGACATTTTTAACGGTAAGGATGGTGAAACACTGGAACGTGTTGCCCAGAGAGCTGATAGATGCCTCATCTCTGGAAACATTCAAGGCCAGGTTGGACAAGGCTGTGAGCAACCTCATCTATTTGAAGATGTCCCTTCTTATTGCAGGAGGGTTGGACTGGATGACCTTTAAAGGTTCCTTCCAACCGAAACTATTCTATGACTTTTTTTTCCACAAGGGCAGTGCATCCCTAGTACTGTTACAATGACAAATCTTACATTTTAAGCCTTTTAATACTGGTAACGTAGCTAACATTTAAACTTTGTTCAGTTCTGAAATACATTGAAGTCTTCACATATTTCTTAAAATATTTTTAGGCTTCTTTGTTTCGTTCTTTATAATAAGTAAAAAGCAACTAGAATTCACCTTAATAGGATTTTTTTCTCTAAACTTAAAATGAAGGAACTTGAAGTTTAATCAGTTTTTGTAGATTAGTTCTTTGATATGTAGAGAGATTAATTTTTTAAGTCAGCCTAGCACAGCTTTGTAGTCTTAAGTTCCCATTCCTGGATGGCTGTCTTTAAGAGAATCCTTGATAAGCTTGAAATTAAAAATTTTTCGTAAAATGCTCTTCTGTGGTGAGAAACATTTGTTTAATCATATGAAAGAATTATTGTCCTTTAAGTCATTTCCATACAAAAATGTCTAGAAATAGAGTACTGGTAATAAAGTAATTAGAGTTATAAATTACTTTATATAAATTGTGTATGGTGCTGTAAAAGGCCTCCAGTGTATTTTGTGGTTTGTTTGGTTTGTTTTTTGTTTGTTTGTTTGTTTTTTTTTTTTTTTTCTTTTAAAGCTATAATTTCTCCTTAAGAGCTTTGTTTATTATGCAGCTTTGCCCTTTGGAGACAGGCAAAACAGTCAAATCTGGCCATACACACAGTGTAATTTTGGAGTTACTGGGTTTTTAGTCTGGAGCATTCACAGTAGCACTGGGTGATTGAGTGTGTGGACAGAAGTGAGTCTGGAATAATAGTTTAATGGAATTTCTCCACATTCAGGATTTCTTTTGAAGATGGATTTGTAGTAGGTTGTGAGTGTTCTGATCAACTCAGAACTGCAGTTCAGTTGTCTGTATATGTTCTAACTTTTTAATAACCATATATTTGCTGGGAGGTCAGGCCTCTGAATATAATTACAATAACTGAAGGGGAGTTGCGGCATTTTTAAACCATTTTTTAGTGACTCAATGTTAGCATGATGCTGCCTGCTCCCAAACAAACATGATTAGAGGGAATTTCAGTACAAGTGCCCTTTTAATTTGAGTTTTCTTTGCAGATCTGCTAAGAACAGACTTGCAATAGCAGTTCTCTGAGGTTCCCCCACCCCTTCAATAATGATATTTGTGGAGTTCTTTGGAGAGCTGCTTAATAATGGAATAAAAGGACTTATCTGTCTTATACCCATAGGCAGACTCCCTGCTCTAAAGCTGATCATGAGGCTACTGACATCACTATCCCACTGCATGCCGGGATGTCTCAGTGGAGCAGGAAGTCTGCAAATCTGGCTGCTCTTAAAGAATCGCCAGGTGGGTTGGAAAAATAAAAGTACACTTGAGCTGAAACGACCTCTGTAATTAGGCGTTTAAGCAATGTATCTGAAAATCTCAGTGTCTGAAGTTTTAATTCACATTTGATGACTTAATCAAGAGTCTTTGAAGTCCACCATCTTCATGCCCCTAATTTCTGCATAAGTTTAGCAACTTTTTTGTTGCCTATCGCCTTTTTTTTGTTTTAATTTGTTCTTTTCCCATATAAATGTGCTTTGAGAAGATTAGAATAGGATTTTGGAGATCAGCAATGTTTATGAAGCAACATCTTTGTCACTCAAGTGTTAAGATGGAATACTTATACTTTTAAATTGTAATGAAAGTTAAAACCATCCATCTGAAGTTAAACTCACCTCAAGAGCTGGTGCATGTGTCCTCTTGCAAAGAGAACCAGGAAATCTCTGCGATACCTTATTTTATACACAATAATTAGGCAACACAGTCTATTTGGTAAGTAAATTAATATTGATTACAAAATTATCAAAATAGTCTTTAATGAACAAAGGTATAAGGAACTAGAATTAAAATAATATCCTGTAAATTTAAACACAGGCATCTTTAAAAATGTGTTGACTCTAGGTTAAATGCCATCAGTACTGGCCAGAGCCATCAGGAAGCTCATCATACGGGAATTTCCAGATTACCTGCCATTCAGAAGAAGGAAATCCTGCTTATGTCTTTCGAGAAATGACATTGACTAACCTGGAGGTAAAATCGTCAGATATATTTCTAAGTATTAATCTGAGGCATCTTCACAAACTAGCTAAAACTCACTTGGTCAGACTTTCTTTTCAACTCAGTGGCGTATCCACGTAATGAGAACTGTTTATTTCTAGAAGTCTTTAGAAAACTGTTCATACTGACATGTACTTACCTAGTATAAATTCTGCTCTTAGAATGGTAACAAACCTTTCACTAGCAAAGTATCACAACGATTCAGTTTCCATAATCATATTAATTGGTTTTAAATCACAGAAAATTTGTATTATTTGTATTAAAAGTCTTTACTAGTGTCTTTCATGCTCTAGCCAAAGAGAAAGAGTAATTAAAGAAGCTGAGAAACTTGTTATTCCTTTGACATTTTTGGAACATGAGACACTAGAGATATTTTATTATTGCAACTGAAAATCTGTCTTTTGTAGAGGCAAACAGTTCTTAATAATTCCATCTTTGAGAATGTGGATGCAAGTAGATTGAAGATAAAGCCAGCTGAGAGAAAGATGAATTGGGCTTGCTGACTACATGTAAACAAGAACACGCATTGCATGATTTTCAGGGCACATGTAGTTTTCAGAGCCTCCCCAGCTAGCATTTCAATCTCAGAAATGTTTGGAAATTAGTATCTGGAATTTAGTTCACGTACTCATTTCTCACTGCTTGGGTTACCAGATGAGATGTCAGTTTTATAGAGCTGCCTTCTAGTCAATTTACAGTTAAAATTCCTTCCCTGGGTCCTGTCGAGACAATTGCTTATTTGTTATCAGCAGTGGAACCTCTGTAAATGATTCGTGCCTAGAGGTTATTTCAAGTGCAGTAATTTCTGGTCTATGAAGTCCTGCTTTTACACTGACTATACAGTCTGACGCCCCCACTAACCAGAGGCAGATTATGTCTGTGATATTAGAGCAAGGGGCAGAAGGGAGTAGAAAACAAAGTCATTCTGGATCGTATGTATATTACGCTGGATAAAATTAAGAGGTGCAGATAAAGCCAAAACAGTGCTGCTGTTCACATAGAGCCTGAAGGCAAACTTTCAGACATAAAAGTCCTGCCTCTCCCCTCCTTACCCCAGTTCCCTTATTTGATCTAGTAAGACAGCACCTCTTCCTGTTAAGTTTGTTTTGCTAAAAATTTGACCACCTTCTTGTACCTTTAGTGCTTCGGTATAACATTGGTATCCTTGAACTGCTTTGCTATTACATGGCATGTAGTTGTTGAAGCATTGTAGACATTTGTGGATTGCCTTTTTTGTTTTTAAGGGAAAAAAAAAAAAGTAATTATAAAACCCCAGGTGATCAATTATTAACACTAATGAAGTGCTGCTAGTTGCTGGAAGCTACTTTTATTATGGGCACAAGTTGCTGTAAATGTACCATTGATTTTTTTTTTTTTTATTATTATTATTATTATTTTTGGCTTGTTGTTTGTTTGTTGGCTTCTAATGGGACCTGAATTACCCATGAATGAACTTCATGTTTCTGACTAGAAAGAGGAAAGCCGCCAACTAACCCAAATCCAGTATATAGCATGGCCTGATCATGGGGTTCCTGATGATTCCAGCGATTTCCTAGATTTTGTGTGTCTCGTGCGAAAGAAGAGGGCTGGCAGAGAAGAACCTGTTGTTGTTCATTGCAGGTATCAATTTTTTTCCAACTTTCTTAAATCATCAAACTGAATTTATTTAGCATCAAATAGCTTTTCTGTGCTTTGTGTTTGAAACAACCATTTAATTGTATCTGCTTTGGGGATGACAGGAGAACTCAAGATTTAAATAAAGCAGTTACTTAAAATTGTAATCACGTTTCAGTAAGCAAAATTTTGATTATATACATTCATCGATCTGTGCAGGGATTTTTTTTTGTTGTTGGGTTTTGTTTTGTTTACAGTTTAAATGCTTATGTTGTATAATAACTCACGGAAATAGCAGAAGATACCTAGGAACCTTTTCCTCATGGTGACTATTCTACAAAACTCCAGAAGAGCTGTATAAATAATCCATAGCAGAAACATGGATAGTACATGCAGTAAACAAATAAAAGACACTTTCTCTCAGGTCTGCAGTCTTAGGCAGCATAATATTTTGATATGTACACTAATATGACACATTTTTCTCAACAATTTACTTTTGTTGTGAATTAAAATAACTGTTACTCAGATTTTTATATATACAAAATGTGTGGGTTTGTTTTTCTTGTGCAATAGTAGCATTCTTTCTATGTTCCTACTGTGATTTTGAAAATCGTAATCCTTTAAAATACCTAATTAGTAAACCATAATAATGCATAATGCCAGATGTCTTCAAATGAACATGTGCTATACCAATTCTCGGTGAGCAGTTCTGTGAATAAAATTTGACCTCTTAATTCGTAGTATTCCCCAGACAGTCAATGTTCCTGAGTCAGGTGTGCATCAGTCCTGTTTCAGAGAGAAGCTGAGAGGTTTAAGGGATAAAATAAATTTGAAGACTATCTTATCTACAAGTAAACCAGACATTTATTGAAGAAAATGAAAGCAAAATGTTTTCTTTTTAACACTTTGTGTATTGGAAATCATATTTAATTTGTTTTGCTCTCTCTTCTGCTTTGTGCTGGTTGGGGTGAATCTTAACTAGAGAAACCAGTACTAGAATGCCACTGTCTTAAATGATATTGTTCCTCAACTTCCATTATTAATATACTTTTGATTGATATGGTTGTGAAAGAATAGTGAAAATATCAGCCAAATACAAATTTTACAGTATGAAGTGTGCAAGTCTGCAGAGACACTGGAACCACATCTTTGGAGACTATGAACAGTTTTATTCATCTCAGTGAGGCATCCATTCAGCCCCACGCTGATAATTCCAATACCAACATTCATAACAGTTTTATGTTCCACAGAAGAAAAGAGAGGGCATATCGTATTTCAACATAATTTACTTAATTGGCCTAACTCAGTGGCTGTTTGGAAGTATAATCAAATTCCACTAGTAAGTCAAGCTGAAGGAGCCCAGGGGTTCCTCCATATGGTGTGTGCACACTATATTTAATGTCTGTTCAGCATAATAGGACAAGGCATTATTGCAACAAAATGGTGAAACTTGTTTTCAGAACTAAGCCACCATCTTTGGTGTGTGGAATTCAAGTAGCTAGCAGAGCAGACTTTTATTTTCTACAGTATTAGTTTAAAAACAAAACAAAAAAACCAGAAGTTGTAAAACAACACAAACCTCAAGAAATTGAAAAAAGGTTTTATGTTGAACTGCTTAAAACACTAGTTTCCAAGCTTGTGTTCATGTGTTTTTATTTTTACAAGGCTCCTACTAGTTTAGTTGAACAGTTTCTAATTCTTGTTCTAGATGAGATGTTGATCCACCCATCATGTCCACACCCTTCATGATTTTCATGTCCTGTCTCAGTGTTCCCCTCCATCGCTCAATGATTTCTTTTTCCAAGCTAAAGAGTCCTAGCCTACCTGATACTCATCATATGGAAACTATCACACTCCCCATCGTTCTTACTGCCCTTCCCTGAATCTTTTGAAGTTCTAAAATGTGTCACTAGGTTCTTTGGCAGATACTGTTCCTGTTTGGATTTGATAAAGCATTCTGCATATAAATTCTATACGTATAAATTCTAGAAATATAAAATGCTATTGAATAATTTTATATAACCAGAACATTTACATCTTGTCAGAAAATTCTCATGACATCACTGAAATATATAGTAGCTTTAATGCCACCTTCTGGGCAAAGTTTTAAAGTAGTAGTTTGGCCAGACTTACTTTTAAGTTATGCTTCAAAATCAGAACAGTGAAGTTTCAAAGTTTGATATGTTTATATTGACCAATTTAGAAGCAAACACTTTCTTTTATGACTGAAATACTAGTTGTATGAGTTGAAATAATGCTGGCATTTGAAAATATAGGTTTGGTCCTGTATTCAAATACAGAGAAACATCTATTTCAAAAGTACAACATAATTTTCTTCAGCATGTAAAATTTTAATTTGAAACTGATTATCAAGTTCAAGGTTAAATATTCAATCTTTGAGGATTGCTACTTGTGGAAAAACATATGTAGATGTAAACCAATGCAGATATTTCTTTAGATTTGTTTAATTTTTAAGCTAATGATGATTCGTGTAGCTTCTCTTAACAGTTTTTCCATTCCAAGATGTATGTGTTATGGTTCTTTCTTGTCTTGAAAGGGATTGCTATTATGCATTCCTTTTCAATCAATAAAAGTTAGCTCTCTCTTGCACTTTTTAATACTAAGAAAATTATCATTATTGTCATCTTCCAAAGGTTTCTAGTAATTGTTCTATTCCTTATTCTGAAATATGAAGGTATTGATCACTTCAAGAACATAAACACGGTTTTATCAAATCAGCCCAACTTTCAAGTAATGGTCATTCCAGTAGTGGTCAGATTGACACAAAGTGCACGGTGTATGCTAGGTGTCTCTGTGTTTTGTTATCATGTAGATACTGGTATGGTTTATAATACGATCTCGATAAATATCTGTTTGTAAAATCCGCTCGAGTAAATGGCCGGGTTAAGACAGTCCCCCTGCAAAGGACTGACATTTCTGTGCTGATGTTTTTTTGCTTTGTTGAGGCATATGGAGGTTTCCAGTGACACAATTTGTCCAACCCCTGCCCTGGTAGTATGGGAATCATAATGATCAGTTGTGAGAATCCTTGAGAAGGAAGGTCTTTAAGTATGAACTGTATTCCAGGCACTTTGTTTCATTTTCCTTTTTTGTTGTTGTTGTTTTTGGTTTGGTTTTTTGTTTTTGTTTTGTTTTTTTTTTTTTTTTTTTTTTTTTTTTTTTTTTCCAGTGCTGGGATTGGACGGACAGGAGTTCTTATCACTATGGAGACAGCTATGTGTCTTATTGAGTGCAATCAGCCTGTTTATCCATTAGATATTGTAAGAACCATGAGAGATCAAAGAGCCATGATGATCCAAACACCTGTGAGTTTCATACTTGTTGTTCTATGTTGCAGAAGAATAATTTCTAATTACCTAGAGTCATATCATCAGATGGATTTTTAATATACTTTTGATGATCATATTGCAAAGAGGTTACCTTTATCCAGTGTAGCTGTAGGCTTGGATCCAGGCAGGATTAAATTGCTAAGGCTATTGGAAAGGAACAATTCTTTAAATTTCTACAAAGACAACTTGAAAAAAGCAGCAGCTGTTTCAGGGATACCTGGCAATTAATGTCAAAAAGGGACAATTTTCAGTAGTGTAGAAATTACTCGGTGGAGAAAGCAGGAGCCTAATTCCAGGTGTTAAGAATGGGAGTAATAAAACAGGTAAACATGGCAAAATCCATGACACTCAAGAAAAGCCTTCAGTGATGCAGTTCAGTGATTTTATGTTGATTTTATGAAAACAAGCCTTAACTCGGCCCTGCAGTGGCTCAAATAAAGGGAAATAATCAGAAAAACACTATTTTAAAAAATCAGTGTAATCAAATCTGATGCAAGATATATCAAAGTAATTTTGGGTGTGTGTGGTCTAAAAAAAGTAAACTGCTACTATGTTTTTTTTGGTGCTGTCTGCACGTTTGGCGTATCTTAAGATGCTGGAATTTCTCTTGGATCTGCAATATTTGGGGGGTTTTGAGATAATTGTGATTTTGCTTTAATGTGTTATATTTCAGAATTGTAAAAGTTTTAGCTCAGATTTAGAAAGTTTTTATTTGTATCAGTTAAGTGTTGAGTATCTCTGAGAGCAGTTTTTATTTACATTTTTGCAAAATACCTAAAAACGATGGAAAAAAAAAAAAGGCTTGAACTCTTGGTTGTTCCAAGCTTTGACCAGTTCCATATTTTGGGTTTTTTTTTTTGAATCAGTAGTCAGTTGTATCATTTCACTTCTAGCATATAGTGTTCAAAGGGAAAGTATTTGGATGGAGAAAAGGCACTAGATCCAGTACCCAATCTCTCCCACAATTACTTGAATGTAGTTACTCATTGTACTAATTCTGATGTCCCTGCTGCTGTTCCTCTAACCGAATTTGACTAAACCCTTTGTGCTCTTCAAAGAGTATTCAGACTGACAAAAAGTATATATAAGCCTCCATTTCTGGGTCATCTATCATTCAGTGCTGCTGTCCCATCTTCATATTCCACTAAAAAGAAAGTTGTATTATTCAGCTGGCACAGGGAAGCATGGGGAATATGATGGGTGATACATGAAAAATAATAAAAGATGGTTGTTGCTATTTGTGATAACTATGCAGTATGAACATTATACCTCTCTGGGATACATAGAGAGGAAGAGAATTTTATTAGTAAAGGTAGGAGGTGCGGTGGTAAGGGTTTTAACAATATTTTTTTTCACTGCATGTAAATGTCTTCTGGTCGTCTCATTTTTCTTAGAGAAACCAGAATTTTCAAGCTTCAGTGAAACGCGGGTGTTTAATGCATCAAAGGGAGAAGGGCTAATAAAAGACTTGAAGTGGGTTTTATTTTTTTAAGATTTCATAAACATTACCTATTATAATTTCTCCTTTGGCACTCTCTTACTGATCTTGTGTATCGTGAAAGAATCACTCAGTGTCCACAAGGTGGCCCTATGCATGGGTGTCTGCTGTCTGTACTGTGTGAGGAGTGTGCAGTCGCCCTCAGCAAGAACAAGAGGCAAAATAAGTATTTTACACAAATACGTATAAATTTAAACTGTCTTTATATGCAAGCAACAATACAGTAAATAATGAATCTATTACTAAATCTGTTACTGTGCCCATTTGAGATCTGACATCACTAATTACTGCATAGAGAGGGATATTCCACAACAGTGGAAAGGCAGGCATGCTGGCTTTCTGACCAGCATATACAGCATTATGCAGTATTCAGCATTAGTTGTGGTGCTTTATAAAACAGTGATTTTATTTCATTTTATTTTCATCATATTCTCATTTGATTATTGTTGGGTTTTTTACCTATTATTTGTTTAAAACAAAGTGTTAGTGGCCTTTATGTATGCAGGTGCTAGACTTTAATACACTGCAGAGTTAAACATTATATAATGTTAAGCAACTGGAGTTCTGGCTTTTTAAAACATGAAACAATTTTCCTTTTTATTGAATTCTGAGAGGGAGGTGCCTGTAGCATGCTAGACTTAATGCAAGTATGAAAAAGTGCTTTGAAACTATAGCTTCTAAATCCAAATGCATGGAAACCTCAGGTCAGTGAAACTTCAGCAATGAAATGAAGAACAGGAAATTACTAAATAGGTGATGTAATAATGGTACTGATTTTGTGGCTATGACTTTTGGTATATATTTCAAAGTACCTTTCATCCCATTCTTCTGTTGAGAAACAAGATGTTCTAATATAAAGTTCCTGTTGTTTTGTGTTTCCTAAAGTAACTTTGAAGCACAGTTTTTGGCCTGTCAAGAGGATGGGATGGGGAAATCTTAGAGGACTTCTCTGCTTCCAAATAACATAGATCACTTACATTTCTTTTTGATTTACTGAATCTACTTTCCTTTTCAGAGTCAATACAGATTTGTATGTGAAGCTATTTTGAAGGTGTATGAAGAAGGATTTATTAAACCTTCACAAGCATCACTGCATAAGTAAAGAGCAAAAAACCTAGGATATCAGTTGAGGAATCCTGTCCTCTATAATGAACTGGCAGCATTCTTTGTGCCATAATACTGCTTGCAGGAAATTATAGTGAAGTACAGCAAAGAATTGACAGAGGACTTTTGAAAACTTCAGCACTGTTGCACTTTACGTTGAAACAAAATCAGTCTCAAACTCTTCTAACGTTCATCTCTTTGAAGACTTTATTTTCGTGCTTTGCTCCGAACAAACGATAAACTGAAAGAACTAATTGTGTTCAGGGTAATCTACGATATTTCATTGTAGTGCCATATACTGCGCTTCTGGTTGAATTGCTACAAACAAGGCTTGGAATTATTTCACTCTGTTTTACACCCATGTCTCTTAAAATGAAAAACAAATGAAAAAATACACTAAGCCATGGTCTTTTTCCAGTGCTAGGTTTATTTACTATGTACAGACTCTCACTGTTTTGTTTTTTACAACATTAGCAATATTGCCAATACTAGATAGATACACACTGCCTACTGATGCAGCACACTTTGTCCTACACCCTTACTAGAGACCAGCTGGTTGTTAGAGGAAAGCTGGCGTCTGTGTTAACCCAGCAGTAGCTGCATAAAGCCCACTTACCAGCATCTTGTATAAAATAATAACAATAACAATAAAAATTAAAAAAAAAAAATAAACAGCATTTCTTTGACACAGCTTGTGTGTCATACACTGGTGTATTCTGATTCGTGTGATTTAAGATTACGTGATGGGAACTAGTGCATGCATTATGTCTTAACCCCTTAAGTGCCTTGAGACTTACAGCGTACATCCAGTGAAAGGCACTCATGATTCTGTGGGGGTGGTATTGTCCTGTCATATTTATCTTAATGGGTTCAGATTTTAAAACGGCCCTTGGTGCTTGGAATGTGTTACAGCAAGGGGTCATGGAAATACCATTCCCTCTTCCCTTACACAAGTACCTGCATGCTACTCTTGGTAGCAAAAGCACCTCTGCCAACTTAATGAATGAGCATTGTATGCTGCTGTGTTGTAATTATGTGAAAAATCTGACACATTCCTCCATTCCTTCCAACTAGTAACTTACTAGCAGCTTACTATGAAATGCTGGTAGGTCATTAGAAGCTGATACTTTGTTTCATCTTCTTATTGAGAATAGCTGTCTTGAATAGGACATAACTCTCTAATAGCACTGATAATTAAGCTGAATTTACAATCAGATGTGATTTAATTCCATTATCTGCTAACCAATTACTTTTTAAGTCCTCATAGTTGATTTCAAGCCATGTTAGTACAGGTCTGCCTTTTTTTTTTTTTTTTTTTTAATTGTTTGGGGGGGCTGGGGAGGGAAGGGAGGAGAACACTATGAAGTTGTCCCAGAACTTTAATTCCATAATGACCCCAGTCGTCTTCTGTTATGCTTGTGCAAAATTGTTCCAGTTGGTATGGGTTGCTTCTTATTTAAGTAGGTAGAAGATTTGTAAGAAATGTCTGTCTGATACAGTATCTGAGCTCATTCTAAAGATACATACATGTTCCAGTTTTTAAATATTTTTCCAGTATAGCAGAAACCAAGTCAGAAGCAAGGTATCCAATGTAATATACTGTAGGAAAAAAATCAGTCACTTCTTTGACTGCCCTGTGACAACATAACTTTGTGCCCTGTATTTAAAAGTTTTAATTTATTGTATTGGTTTTCTGAAAATGTTTATCCAGTAAATTTTGTTGTAAGCTATATAGAGCATAGAATTAAAATGGAAAAGTCTACGCTAAATAATTTTTAACTATGGAAGAATTATATTATATAATATACTGTGTTCTGTGGACATTTGAAAGAGATCAGCTATGAACTATTAAGTGAAAAGGGATTCAGGCAAAGTTAAATCCTGTCTTATGACTTAGTAATAAACATGAACCACAATGCCAAATGGAAGATAGAGTTTTAAATATTTTTGGAGAACAAAATCATATTAGGTGGCCTGTGGCCCTATTACTTATATTTCTAGAGTTGATGCTTAAATCAGTATTATCCCTCAGTGAAAAATGAATCTTACAAGAATCTCTGGATCTGATAAACTGAAAAAGAGTGATAAGGTAGCTTTAATCTCAGTTTTACATTAAGCCATTTGCAACAAAAGAAAATTCTTCTTTAGGAAAGTGTAAGCTTTAACTTCCACGTGACAAGATTATTATCTGAGATGCAGGCTAGCTGGAAGGTTATTTTAAACTCAGCACTTATTGTCTAAAAATTAAAAGAATTCATCCATTATATTGAAATAACTTTTCTTCATAGTCAAGTTGAACATAGCATTTGCCCTTTTTTTCTGAGGGAAATCAGAAATGGAGTTTATAGCAACATTATATTGTGTTGGTATGTCACATATTTAAATATTCTTATGTAACGTTGCCAAAGCAGTTTGAATTCAAAAGACCCATTTATACCACAATTAAGTGTGGGATATTTATTGGTCATCTATCGTTACTGTTTTGATTACAAACACAGGCAAGAATAATAGGTCTCTTCAGAATCTTCCTCTGCACTGACTTAAGCGGATTTGTAGTGTACTAACTAGTTGCACTGGGAAAAAAAAATGGAACAAAGTAACTATTCTCAGATAATTGGCCATCAGTAACTCAGTGGCTTTTTGGCTTTTCCAAAGCCAGGATAGTGGTAACAAAAAACTGATCAGGAAAGATAATAGCACTGAGGCCTTTGTGCACCATAAATCATTTGTTCAAATGTTTCTACCTGTTGTGGTATAAATGGCCTTTAAAATATTTTTATATGGCCAGAAAAGCAAAACTACTAAATATATTACTTTGAGTTATGAAGATCTGTATCATCCTTAAGAGTTTTTTAAAGAAGCTTTTGTATGTTTCATGCTGTACGAGACATGAATGTATCTTTCAGACTAATGACCTATAGACCTATATGTGATTGGTGTTATGACTGTTGGATTTTATGAATAATTATTTTCATACCATTTGATTAGGAAAAATGTTGGGTGGGTGTGGGAAAGAGTATGTTTGTAACACTTCTGTGATACAAATCCAGTTTAAAAAAAAAAAAAAAAAAAAAAGGAAAAAAGTTTTCATTGTAAATAAGAGCAATATTATGACAATTTTGTGCCAATGTGTAATGTTAAGACTTTTGTTTTCCTTTTAGGTTTGGATTGAAAACCTACCTACCACTACCATCTCTTGTTTAAAGTGGATTTGAAGGGGTTTTTTTAGTAGAAAGACGTGGGGCTGCAGGGGGGGCTTTAAGTGTTTTGGGGGCATGTTTTATTCTTTTCTAAATATGAAATAAGATGCAGGTATTTTTTAATAAACCACCCACAGATTGTCAGCCAATCCACTTTGAGAAATACTGCTTTAGATAGATAAGTGAGAGCTGAAGAATTCATTTATCCTGAATTTGGAAGCATTTATTATTTTAAATATCTCAAGTCTTAAGCGGTAAAATACTGCTTTCATGCATTTTATTTTAATATATTCTCTCCCGGTTATGAAAAAGATAAAGCATGATATTTTTTTCTCGCTGCATTTAATGCTAGCTGATATTTCTTCCACATTTCCGTTGAAACGTTTAAAGCTTATGTTCCACTTAGATAAAGAAATAACACTTCTAGAATATCTGATTACGGTTTGGCATGCCATCTATTAGAGAAAGGGTGAGAAAGCAGTTGGGAGATTAAGGAACATGAGGAATTTGTTACGGAACCTGCGTAGCTGGCAACTTTCCACGGAGACCTTCCAAAAAGCTTTGTGGTACCCATGGAAGGGCCAAAATGCAGCAGCAGATCTGCTGGAGTTGCACCGTCCAGGGAGCCCAGAAGTGGGGAGGTCTGGTGTAGAGGTGCTGGAGATCTTGGTATGCTGTGGAGCTGAATTATGTCGTATTTTTATGCTTCTGCAGTGTGTGTGCAGGTGTGTGGGTGATGGGAATTAGCATGAAAAACTCTACGGATCCACCAATTTTCAAGTGAAACCAGGTTGACCAATATGCATGTGGTAGTTTTGGCTATAGAGCCACGGTGCAGGCAATCTTCAAGACCCTCAGCCCTGAGAATAAAGGCAGGGATAGTTTTATGGTTCAAATTAAACTTCTGCATATTGGGACTTCCACAAAGTGCAAGAGTGGTGTCCATTAATGGCACTTGCAGTCTTTTTGTAGCTCACATCTCAGGTCCCCAACTGGCTGGGTGCATTTGCTAATTAAAGTACCCACCTTTTGTCTCAAGACTGGAAAAGCTCTTTTCCATTGCTACTTTTAGTGCTAGGAACCAATATAAGAATCTGGTAAAAACATATTCATTGATTGGATGTGGATCTTGCATGAAATTGCAGGGATTATAATTAGTGGCAATTGGGAAGCTATTACAATGGGAAAATGGTTTGTTTGCTTCAGTGTAACTGTTTTGTCCAGTCTCTCTTATCCCACTGCAGTTATAAATTGAAACTGGGTTTTTTGTTTTCTTTTTGGTTTAGCACTCTGCAAAGGAAGCCAGTTTGTTATCACTGGACTTCACCTCTCTGCTGGTTGCTACCATGAGTGTGCATCTTTTCAGTTCGTAGGGCTCTGGCTGTTGGCTTTAGCATGTTGGGCTCATTGAGAGCTCAATGGTAAAAATTTGAGATAAATCACTTTGACAAAATTTTAATTATTTTTTTAAAAAACCTATGGACTTTTCGATTTCTTTGAACCAGTAGCCTCATTAAAAAAAAAAATAAAAAAAATAAAAACAACCCAACACAATAATCCACTTAATTATCAGTCTAGTCTGCTATAGCATGAACTATGGTTTCATGGACCGGCTGACAGTTTGTTGGTTGTATTATTTTGTATTTAGCAAGCTTATACATTTTAAAGGGTAATATTTTTTTTCAAAGTGTTTTGATGTTTGAATAGTAGCACTTTATTTCATGCTTACTACTGACTGAAATATTGGACAAAATAAATTGGATTTGGAGAGAGATGCTTAATGGGTTACTGTACAGAGATGATTTGGATTACACCCTGGTACGAATGCTTTCTGTTGTTCCAACCATTTCTGGTTTATTGTTCATGTGTTTCTGAGGGACTTTCAGAAAATAGATATTAATAAGATATTAATAATTCTATCATCTCAAATGTCCTGTCTTAAAAAGAATATAAAGCTTGCATTTTGGGGAGGGGAAAAAAAAAAAAAAAAAAAAGGTGCAAATAGAAACTACAGGGTACTTGTAAATTTATCTCTGTGATCTCTCTCAGCTAACTGCAAATTAGCTATGTTTACTGTAAATGTTTCTGCTAAGCGTTATTTTTAACATTAGATCAATTACCTGGAAATCAGTATTTTTTTTTACTTAACTTATTTGAATTTTGATAACTAAAGATAATGCACAACAAAGTTTAAAGAAGTTGTCATCCTTTTACTCCTAGGCCAGGGGCCTATGACTTGAGTAAAAAGGTTAAACAGTTTACATTAAGCTGTTGTTTTCTTTAACTAGAATATATCCACAAAGACTAGACTATAAACTATCCAGTGCAATTATCTCAGTACATTGGGGCACCACAGTAACAGCCCATAATAATCTTACAGGAAAATTAAGGTAAGAAAACAAAGGTTTGATTTTTATCCAGTGTATCCAGATTTGTTTTCCGTTCGGTTTGTTTACCAGTGATCCCATTTTAACCAGTCGATTTGGCAGGGCTGTTTGTGTAAGGTTTGGGTTTTTTTTTCTGTAACAGGTGCTATACTATGTGTAAATACAAAGGGAAGAATATTTAGATCATTATTAACAATCAGATGGTGGCAATATTTTTTGCTAGTTAGTTCTGGTAATTAATTTGCATTTCCAGCTGTGGCTTTCAGTTGTCAAATTTCATCTCAGTTTTATACTGCTGAATGATGGACTGCAAGTGTGAAGTAAATAATATCAGAGTTGAATAGCTCTTTTGTTGTTTAGAATAACTCTTGTGTATCTTTATTAATGTTGGGAAGATGGGAAGGTTCTTCCCGAAAGTAGACTTTTGCCTATAAATTTGTTTAAAAGCACATGAGGGGGAGAAAAAAACAAAACAAAACTAACTGCAACATCTTGGCTAAACAGCTGGGGTGGTTGATTGAAAATGGTGGAAACTTGAAATTGGTCAACACTGGACAATGTGAAAATAAATTCAGCTTCTGTCACTGCAGCTACTGTATGCTTTAAAGGGCCTTATGTATTTGTCTTCATTTTGATAAAATTAAATTTCTTGCCATTAAACTGATACACTAACTTCTCCGAAAACCAGCAGTTCCCAGGTTGAATATGCTAATTAACATTTAACAAGGCTTGTTTTAGTCTTAAGTAAAATTTCATTCTATTATGTGAAAAAATGCTGTTATGCATATTTTGTGGATATATTTAATTTCAGTTGACAAATAGTTGTCTAGGTACAGACTTGAAAATATATATATAGTTTACTTGTGGATCTTAATTGTTTAATTGCAAAATAAAGATGTGCTTTAGTAATTTCAAGTTTAAATTTTTTTTGCGATTTTCTTGGTACTGTACACACTGTTTTGTTATGCTACCTCTATACGCTTCTAACGCAAGAATGTTCTGATGTTCATCTTGTGTTTTACTTTTTGACATTGTATACCATAAATACAGCCCTATGGATTCAGCACTAGAAGAAGATGCTAAATTACCAGGTATTGCTTGGCTACAGAAGCAGCATGACAGTATCAGCCAAAGTTTTTACCTGAAAGTATATACTGCAGGTTTTGCACTAATGGAAAAATAACTGTATTTATCTTCAATACAGTGAGTGTTTTGGATACAATATTCAATAGAGATTACGATCGGATCACAAAACTGAGGGCATGAGGAAAACTGATGTGAACAACAATTCTAGTTGGAAGCTTGTGATGAAATATTTGCTTCCAAAAAGCAAGAGGATGTTCAAAGCAAAAGTATAAAAAGATGGTGAAAGGACTTTAGAAGCAAGACAAAAAAATCTCAGGAGGGATAAGTGTCTAAGAAAAGAGAAAGACCCATATGTTCTTAATGTGACTGATTAATATAGGACTTAAAGTGAGGACAAGGTGTTTGGATTTGAAGTACAAAAAGATAAACTACTGGGAAAGCACTCAAGGAGAGAAACAGGAGTAAGAACAGGTATTAAATTGAAAGAGATTTATTTGAACTGAAATGGGAAGACTGGATAGAAGACAAGTCACAGGTACCACAGTTGCATGTGCATATACTTGGACTATATCTGAGTAGCAAATAGTGAGGAAGGAATAGACTGTAATTACATGAAGATCAGCAAGAGGCCGGTGTGAAGTAGGAAACGCAGATACGAGCAAAACATTTGGGTCACCGAAGCTACAAAAAGGAAGCTGGGAATAACAGAGTTCTTGGTGACAGGGAGTTTGTGAGTGACAGAGTGGAAAGAAGCTCAATTTGAGGAAATAGTTGAAGATGGGCAGAAGATTTAGGGACAACTTCTAATAATCAGGTAATTCTCCAGAATGCTTTATCTAACAGGAAAATGTGAACTGGTATAGACGTAATATGGCAGGGAGACTATCACTTATGTGACAGAGATCTCTGCTAAAAATTAAGCATCCTTGTTAGGCAAATGATCAGTTAGTTGACGTGCACTGCAAATTCATCAGATACGTGAAAACCTCAAAGATAATTTTTTTTTCCCCTTCAGTAAGATTTTATGTGTTTCCTTTGGAAACTTTATTGCAAGTTCCCACATATATTCCATGACAGACTACCAGAAGCAAACATAATCCCTGCTCCTCTGATAAAAAGTGTCTAAACTCCCTCATTTTGTGATTTATGTTCTGTGGTAAATAACCAGGCACAAACCTGATTCTCACCTTTCCCCTAAGCTTGCTTTGCTCCTTCTGCAAGGGTGCTAAAATAACTGACATTTAACATTAAAATTGTCCTGTTGCTTTGTCAGCAAATACTGGGGAGTTACACGGCAGGTTTTGTTTTGTTTTTTTTTTTGTTTTGTTTTTGTGGGGTTTTTTGGGTGGTTGGTTAGTTTGGGGTATTTTTTTGTTTGGGCTTTTTTTGTTTTGGTTTAGTTTTTTTGGGTTTTTTTTTTGTTTTTTTTTTTTACGCCATTTCAGCAAATGACATCAGGATGACTCAGAGTTTATTCAGGCACTGGAGCTGATTTTGCCGTAGCAGCATGCTAATGTGCGTTTTATTATGCCAGTTCCTCTGCATGGCAGGTGAGCGAGCCATTTTCTCAGCCTGGTTTTCACAGCTGAGTGTAGAAAGTGTTGAGTTACCTTTAGCAAAAGCAGTCCCGATAACAAGCTGAAGTCTCTGCTTTCCCAGAATGTTACACAGACTGAATTCCCAGTTATCCTGGGATTTTGAAGGAGCGTGGAGCTCACTGACCCAGAGCAGTGATTGTTAGCTGGCACAATACTTTGAAAGCAGAGTTTATATGCCTGCCATTTATATTGCCTTTTCTGAAGTTTTCTATTTGGAGATCTCAAATACTAGCTTGAACACAAATACTTATGTACTCAAAAAACTACAAGTACAGTGCAGGCCTTTAATTGCTGAGCCTCATGCCAGTGAGCAGGGCTTTTCCCCTTAGACTTGGAGTATCAAGTAAGAAAAATAAATGTACAGATCACTGGGACAAACTGTGCATTTTCAAAGGACGTTAGAATACAAGCTACATTTGTTCATAATAATCTTATTTCTGTGTATAAATACTGAACTATTTACTACAGTGGTCGTTTGTAGACTGCTCTGCTTTATTTATTCCTACAGTGATCCTTCTAGGAAGCATTGAAAGAGACGATTTTCTTCCAAACTTAATGGTTTAAGAGCGCGTTTGCCTGAGGCTTCTCGTAACTGCTGGCCAGCTAAGGACTTGTGACAGTTCTGGCTGAACCGCTGAGAGAAACTTCCCCTGCATGCTAGCAAAAAGTCCAGAAATTTTGCGAATTAACTTGAAAGTCATCCCGAGAGCTCGCAAGGCCGTGCCACTCCGTTGGAGGGTTACGCGGTCGCGCTCGATTCCGGCGCGGCCCCTCTCCCCCTCAGGCCGGGCCCTTTGGCGCCAGCCTGCGCGGCGCGGGGGCCTCGCTGTCCCCCCTCCCCCCCGGGCAGTACGTGGGCCGCGCCGCGCCCCCACCGCCCCCCGCGGCGGCCCTCCTCTGGGCGAAACCACCTGGCTCGGGGCGGGGGCGCCGCTTCTCCACGGGTATCCGCCCCTTTAAACTGGCGATGGCCCCATGAGCGGCGCAAAAAAAAAATAAATACATAAATAAAGGAGCTCTTTGTACCGTCCGCCCGTCGCTGCTCTTCCCGGCCGCCGGTCTCGATCCCATCGCCGCTGCCCGAGCGGGAGGAGCGGCAGCGGAAGCTGCCAGGTGAGTAAGGGCGGGCAGGAGGAAATGGCCGGTGAGTCGTTGCCTGTTTAAGGGCCTCCCACATCGCTCCGCCATCGTCGGAGGCCCGCCCCCTCCCGGGGGCTCCCTCACGTCCCGCCCGGAGCAGCCGCCGCGGGGAGCCCGCTGCGACCGAGGCCCGGGCGGCGAGACCCCTCGGCCGGGGCCGGGGCACGATGTAAGGGCGGGGGGCGCCCGTCCGGCGTGGGCTGGGGGGGCAGAGGCGGGGCCGAGCGGGGCGGCGGGCGTTGCTTGCCGGGGCTGCCCCGGTGAGGTGGGGGGCGGCGGAGGCGGGTGTCGGTGGGCCGGGTTGTGGCTCCGGTTGGGGGGGGGGGGGTCTCGCCTCGTCGCCGAGCTCCTGGTGTTTGCCGGGGCGGCGGGCAGGGGCCGCCTGCCCTGCGCCCGCGGCACCTCGGGCGGGAAGCGCCGTGCCCGAACCGCGCTCGCCTCGGTGCGAAGCCTCTGCCGGAGAGACGGCGCCGCGGCCCCTGGTCTGTGAGCGAGGTTCTGGGGCGGGAAGGGCCCTGCCTCGCTTTTTTCTGGTGAGAGGGATGGGGTTCGGCAGGCAAGAACATAGCTGGTGCTGTGGAGTTCTTAGTTGCTTTCCAGTTTGTATTAATGAAAGATGGAAATTAATTGTATGAGACCTACGTGATCACTGTTTTTTTTTTTTTTTCCTAACACACTTTCAGATTGTCACAAAAATTACCTCAAATACAGGAAGAGATTTGAGCAGAGTTTTTTTTAAAGTAGTTGTAGAGTGTGGGTAGTTAAATCTAAGGTAGTAAAACAACTGTTTGATTCTCTTAGTACTTTAAGTCTGGTATTTTCCAAGAACTCTAAATTCAGGCTTTTTTTTTGTTTTTTTTTTTTTTTTTTTTCCTCTCTCTCTCGGTGAAAAACTAACATTAACATGTTCTTTGCCTGTTTTGGATTTCTTAGCAAAGATGCTGAGCTTTTTCCGTCGAACCCTTGGCCGGAGGTCTATGCGTAAGCATGCGGAGAAGGAAAGGCTGAGGGAGGCCCAGAGAGCTGCCACCCACATCCCTGCAGCTGGGGACGCAAAATCCATCATTACTTGCCGAGTAGCACTGCTGGATGGAACGGATGTCAGCGTGGATTTACCGGTACAAGTGATGCAAGCTTGTGTCAATCTGATTGTGCTCTTTGCTTTTTGCAAGTTAGGTAAAGTCTTATCTATTTGTCATAGCAAGCAACCCTGTGACTCGACGTCCAGTAAGTTACTGGTCATAAAAAGGTGCTGTAGGAATAGTTAGCTTTGTTATTCGCTAAACTTGAGAGTGTTTTATTGGATGTTATTTTGCCCTATACGTTGAACACTTTATAGTGTGTTAATGTAATTGTTGTGCCGAGACTTAAGAGAGGGTAATGTTTCAGATGAATTGGATTTTCTTTTCACAGAGCTATGTGTGTATCTTGAGAAGGAAGCTTAATCTCTTGGTTAACTCTGTTGAAGAGGAGGTATAAGCAGAAGTGCTAGCATTAATTTCTGTGTGGGTTTTGGTTTGATTCTGTGTTAGAGATGGATGCAGTTTTTAATGCTAACTTGAGAGGGGAGGGGAAGAGAGGAATTCTACTTCCTTCCCATCCTTAGGGCAGTTTGTATAGCAGGGATTGTCTCATAGCTTAGTGCTTTGTTGGGAGTGAGGTGTTAGCCACTGTTTTACATTTCTAAAGCTCCCTTAATATACACGTGTCAGTTCTGCTCTGCTTAATTATATACCTGATTTTGGCCAACAGGATGAACAGTAGCAATAGAATTGATGTGCTCTGTTTTTCCATTACCATGTGTTATAGTTGCTAGTGACTTGTTTTGAGCTCACATAGCTGAGTTAGGAAGCTGTGGGTCTGCAAGACCTTCTGACTAGTTCTGTAGGATTTGGCTGTAATAACAGTTGTGCTGATGTTGGAACTGCTGGCTGGAAAGAGCATGGGAAGCAGCCATTCTTGAAACAGCTTTTCTTCTCTCCTTTTCTTATTTCAAGCATGTTTCTAGAGTGTTTATAATGTTAGATAGCCTGAAGAAGGCTTAATTTGTTAAGAGTATTGAGCAGCGTTGTTGACATAGTGAGCAGAAATCACTCTTGTGATATCCAGAGCCCCAAGTAGTCTAGAGTTAAAGAAATAATTTGGAATCTTTATTTGTGAAATGGCTATATGGATAGGTGTTTATAGAGGGCAGTAAAACTAATTTGTACATCTCTGAAACAATGTAATGAACATACCCAGTGCTGCTTAGTGCCTAGGATGTTTGATTTGAGGCCAGGAATGCCCACAAACACTTTATAGCAAGAGTTGCACTTAAGAAGTACTCAAGTTTAAATTGTTGTCTCCACATAACCAGAGCAGTAATCTTTGGAGCTGGACTTGGCTCTGTAGGCAAATTCCTGGCTTCTCTAACAACATTTCTAAGGCTTTGAGGAACATAAATTGAACCTGAAGAGGTGTCGTGACCTGCCATCTGGCCTATAAAACTTAGATCAGGGTGCAGTAGTAACTATTTATTTCTACAAGAAACTTTTTTCACTCTTGCTTTTTTTTCTTTATAATCCAACAGAAAGCCTTGTTCGTGGACATCTAAGTTATGAGTAACAAATATGCTAAATCTACATAGCTAGATGAAGTAATTACAGTGCATGGTCAGTGGCTGACATGTACTGGTTCCTTTGATGATTAAAATACAATAAATTAAAAATGAATTGTTTAATTTTAAACTCCTTAGTGTGTTTGCTCTTGTGTCTCCACTTGACATTGTTCATATGCTGGGGTTGATTCTGAAAGAGGAAAAAAAAAAAGGAGGGGTGAGACAGGGGATGAAGTGGAGGGGACAAAATCCTGGTAAAACAACATTGCTTTCTAAAATCAAAAGCTAAATTAAAAATAAATATGTGTATATAGAGAGAGAGATTTTTTTTTTTTTTTCTTTTACAAAAACTTTCCTTGAGACTGATCGTCCTCTTTGAGGGAAGTCCTTCTTCAAGACTGGTTCTGTTACTTAGGCAGTAGATTTGGTTTAATATGATCTTGTTATCTCAGAGGTGCCCTTGGGTTTGCCACTTCAGTTGTACACAGTCTCATTGTCTACCTAACTTCTGTGAAATTGTTTTATTTAAAAAAAAAAGACAAAAACAAGAAGCAAAACAAACAAAAAACCAATCAAACAAACAGACAAAAAAAAAAAAAAAAAAACCAGACCCAAACAAACAAACAAAAACAACAAACAAACAAACAAACAAAAAAAAAAAAAACAGAATGTGTTTCTTAAGACTGATTCACTTAGCAAACAGGTTAGTTCATGGCCAGAGAAGGAGTTGCCTTGGCAGGAACAAATGCTGTGACTACAATGACATTTTTAATCCATGGCTACATAAATACTTTACAGTGGCATAAGTTGTTGCTGCCACAGGAAGAAAAGATGTTGCTTTCATTATTGCATTTGTCCTTGTTTTCGCATACCCCTTGGCAGAAGAAACAGTTTTTTGGCAGCTAGACAGTAAGCTAAGTCAAGAAAATTCTGTGGCTGAAAATAATCGGTATAATTTTGTTATGTTAGTTTCCAGCTGGAGTGATTCTCCAATCTGCTTCCCCATGTGCCTCCCCAAATGTGGTGAAGAAGTATTTAGTGGCAGTATCAGGCTTATGCTTGCTTAAAATGCTTGTTGAGCTGCTGAAAGTATAGAGTGTTCTGGAGTTATGGTTGTTCATATAATTGATTCTGAGATTGCTGAATTTCTGTTTAAATTAAAAAAAAAAAAAAAAAAAAAACCAAACCCAAAAACAAAAAACACAGGGAACATTATCATATAAGCCAAACATGTTTTGGAGTCTTTTTAAGAAGTAAAGACTGGTGTTTTTATGAATATTGGTAATGAGACAGAAGGGACATGTTGTAAATGATGCAGTTGAGGTTTAATTTATTAAACACAGAGCCAGGATTTGAGCAGTAACTCTGCTTTTTGTCCACTGATCTTATCTATGGTGTCTGTCAAACCACTTAATCTGTCTGCTTTTCTATTTCTTCTGTTTTTAATTACAAAATTGCCTTACTTGAACTGTTCATCAAAGCTGCAGACCTGCACAGTACATAGACCTGATTCTTTTTAAGAATCTACTTATTTCATAGCCACGTCAATGAAGAATATCAGTGTTATGTATATTATTTGCTGTCACTTTGGTATGTTCACAATGGGAGGCATGAGCTTCATGCGAGTTATCAGTGTTCTTTTGGGGCAGATGGAAAGGTGTGGGTTTCTTTCCCCCACCTTCATCCCAGATTCTGAAATTGTGTTTCAACCTGGTAGTTTTCCTTGTCTGTTACCCCTTTTTTGAAGCTTTATGTTTGTCCACATGCACTCAGTGATTTTGACATACTTACCACGTGTTTAGTGAAACACTGAGCATCTTATTATTTTTTTAATCCATGAAAAGTTTTTATAAAATATACAGTGTCTGTTAACTGTGCTGCTGTTGTTCATCATACATGCTGTTTTACTGTTAATTTACCTCCAGTTCGCCTTGGACAAAAGTTAGGTTGTGCTTTTTCTTCTAATTGTTTAAGGTCTGTGGGTGGAATGTTTGCTTAGTGGTATGAGCAGTGAGAGGACAAGAACTCTGTTTTGCTGACATCCCCTATCTTACTTTTAATCCTGTTCCCATGTGAAACTAAACTCAATCTTCCCCAACTGCACCTCTGGAATTCCCAAAAGCTCAAAAGCCACGGACAGGTCTGGTTTAGTACCTGAAAGCTCCATCAGCTCAGTCGTACCAGTCTGGGCTCCCAGGGAACCCCTCAGCAACTGAAATACTGGCTCTTCTGGTGGTCGCTGTTTTAATTGAAGTTAGCAGCGTCTTATGAAATAGTTGAGAACAAAAATGTTTGTCAAGAATTTCAAATAAAGTGCTGTTTTGAGTACTAGAGGGCTCCAGAGAATTTTTAAATCAAAAGATTAGAAAACTGAGTATTCGTTGTAGAGGTAGTAAATTCAATGCTATTCATAGTAATAATTGGGAGAGGGAAAAGCTAACCTAGGTAAAGGGAAAAAATGGTAAGATAAATTATGTAAACTAAATTACAGGGATACACTTGGAATATATATCTTTTATAAATTTGTGGACAGCTTTCTTTGGGGGAACAAGGTCAGCCGTACAATAGCAACACATAGCAAGTATGGGGTCTTACAGCACTGCGCTTTGGGGAAGCCAGAGGTGTTCTGGTAAAAAAAACCTGACCCTGCTTAACCCATAATTTACATAATCTTCTCATGGATAATAGAGCGTTAATTGTATTCCAGTTTCTGTACATGCAACCTAAGTTTTAGGCAAAAGCTTCCTGGTGGTATAAGTTGAAAGACACAAATTATGGGAATGGATGCTCTCTGAGTAGTTTTTCATTTTATAATTTTCCTTACTTATGCATGCATGAAGTTTAATATGGAGATTGCAAAATGAGATGTTTTTGTCCTTATAATGAAGTATCATTAAAACAAGGTCTTATATAAACCAGTCCCAGAGCTCTGTGGAATAGCAGGAATTAGCTAAACTGTTTACAGTTTTGGAGTAATGCTTACAAAATAAGATGAAAAGGACTGTATCTGTAGTGATTATTTTAAATAAAATCAAGAAGACTATCTGGAATGCCAGAAACGTTGCCAGCAAACTGTTAACAAGTGCTGATGGCTTTTTGTGTGGAGGGAGATGATCTATGTTGATCTCACTACAAGATCAGAGATGCATTGTGATAGTTGTTTTTATTCAGCAATCCACTCTGTTGCTTGAGGTTTTTTTGAGCTTGTAGAATATTTGCAGCTACTTTCTGAATATTTGTAGCTGTAAATATGAAATACAGACTGCTGTCTGTGGCACAGATGCTGATTAGAAAGAAAATCTAGTAATGGTAAAAGTACTGGAAAATCAGTCTTTGAATACAATGAGTAATCTTAGTCGTCAAGGATGACTTTTAATAAATTTCAATAAATCTCAGCTGACACAAGAAATACGTAAATGAATGTGTGTGTGTGTGTGTAGACTATAAAGATTTGGATTAAAACTTTTTCCCCAGGTGGTCTTTGTCTTAAACAATTGAAATGCTTTTGTCTATTTGCTTAAACTACTG